CTATGCTCCACGGATTTGTGCAAGCAGACGTTATCAGGTGGAAAAGGTGGATTTAGGGAGGTGGTTTGTCCCCCCCTTACCCGCCCCGGAACGAGCTACGCGCAGGCGCAGAACTCTCTCTCCTCCCCCCCCCCCATTCTCGTGTCACCCACCGACGCTCGAGCGGGCGATGCTGCCGTAACCATGGGTGACAGCGGCCGGAGGCGCCTGCACCTGGCCTAAGGTAAGGCTCCAAGTCGGGGTGGGGTTTTGTTACCGCCTCCAAACCCGCGGGGCTCTGATGGTGTACATCGAGATGGATCTCTTCCCCGGCGCTGAGCGGCGGCGACCGCGGGTCCCGAGGGAAGGTCTCCCGGGATTTGAGGGTTTAAAACCCGACCACCGGGAAGAGCTCTCCCCCCCCCCCTCTCTCTCTCTCTCTGCCCTCCGCCATAACCCTGGGGCCCGCTTTATCCCTCTCCTCATACGATGCCGCCCGCCCTCCGGGTGCTGGATGGATGTGCATCCCGCGGCTGTTTCTACGGCGATGTCTTCCCTCTCCCTCCCCCGGCACGTCCTGTGTACATGTCCGCGCGCGCGGACACACACATACACAACCCCCCCCCCCCCATACACACACACCACCACCCCCCACACACCACACACACACACACCCACACAAACACCCCACCCACACACACACACACACACAAACACCCCCACACACACCCACACAAACCCCCCCCCCACCACACACCCACACCACAAACACCCCCCACACACCCACACAAACACCACACACACCCACACACACCACCCCCCACACACCCACACAAACACCCCCCACACACCCACCCCACACACCCACACAAACACCCCCCCCACACACACCACCCCCCACACACCCACACACACCCACACAAACACCACACCCACACACACCCACATAAACACCCCACCCCACACACCCACACAAACACCCCCCCCACACACCCACACAAACACCCCCCCCACACACCCACACAAACACCACACCCACACACACCCACATAAACACCCCACCCCACACACCCACACACACCACACCCACACACACCCACACAAACACCACACCCACACACACCCACATAAACACCCCCCCCACACACCCACACAAACACCCCCCCCCACACACACCCACACAAACACCCACACCCACACAAACACCCCCCCACACACACCCACAACACCCACCCACACACCCACACAAACACCCCCCCCACACACACACCCCCCCACACACCCACACAAACACCCCCCCCACACACACCCACACAAACACCCCACCCCACACACCCACACAAACACCACACCCACACACACCCACATAAACACCCCCACCCCACACACCCACACACACCACCCCCCACACACCCACACACACCACACCCACACACACCCACACAAACACCACACCCACACACACCCACATAAACACCCCACCCCACACACCCACACAAACACCCCCCCCCACACACCCACACAAACACCCCCCCACACACCCACACAAACACCACACCCACACACACCCACATAAACACCCCACCCCACACACCCACACAACCCCCCCCCCACACACCCACATAAACACCCCACCCCACACACCCACACAAACACCCCCCCCACACACCCACACAAACACCACACCCACACACACCCACACACACCACCCCCCACACACCCACACAACCCCCCCACACACCCACACAAACACCCCCCACACACCCACACAAACCCCCCCCCACACACCCACACAAACACCCCCCCACACACCCACACACACCACCCCCACACAAAGACCCCCCCACACACCCACACAAAGATCCCCCCCACACACCCACACAAACACCCCACCCGCACACCCCCACACACACCAGCCCCCAAACACACCACCCCCCCACACAGCCACACAAACACCCCCCCACACCCACACAAACACCCCCCCCCACACACACCACCCCCCCCCACACACACACCACCCCCACGCACACACACACAAACACCCCCCCCCCACACACACCAGCCCCCAAACACACCACCCACCCACACAAACACCCCCCACACACACCACCCCCCAAATATACCACCCCCCACACAAACACACACACACCACCTCCTCTGAAATCAACAGGATCCCAGTCCAAGAGCTCGGCCAGAGTCACAGTGGGACCTTATGAAGAAATACCCTTTTATTCCCATACCTGTCTTTACAAAACAACAACAATAATAATAATAATCCTTACATTTGATACAGGGCCTTATCACGTCGTTGAGACGTCTCAAAGCGCTTCACAAAACGTATTGCAAAGTGTGGTTTGACTGTGTAATTTGTGGGTAACAAAAAACTTGATTTATGTGCCAATAGGGGTAAATTAAATGTTTTTTTGTTCTTCCACAAAGATAGAAATTATGAGGGTTGTCATGGAAGAATGCTGGGAAAATGCAGCTGTTAGGTTTTCATAGTGTTAAACTGTTACCCAGTTAATCTCAATGAAGGACAAATAAAGTATAGTTTTTTTTAATCCTTTGGTACCCTTGATTGGCAGCACTTCATTAATATGTTTTCAATAAAGTATGCCATAATCTGCTTACCTGCAGATATTTAAAGCTGAAACATTATAGAGCTTTTTATTTTGAAATGTAATTTTTTTTCACAGGCACAATGGGTTCTTGAAAATTGCTATGAGCCATCCAGATTTGCGTGTTATTTATGAATGTCAGATTGTAAAATTCACTATGAAATGCTTCAATAGCAAACCATTTATCCCAAAACAGCAAAAGTTTGAAAATGTCCAGTGAGCAAAATGCCTTTTTTGGATTTTGCTGGTTTGGGATTGCTGTTTTAGGAATCCTGTAAATTGGAAATCACAATTCATGCAATTTCTTCAAAAGTTTCAACCTGGGCAGACAAGTTAGAATGGCTCAATCCTGTGTAATTCACTAACAGTTTTAAACCATTCCTATTCAGGATATTAGCATGTATTGCTAATGCCAGGTTATACATTTGGTATCAAATTGTAATAATCAGTGTGCTGTCTGAATAAAAGCATAAAACAGCACAAATCATGCATGAATCTTGCTCCTGGATATACGAGGAGCAAAGCATGGAATGTGTGAATTGCACTGGACTTGCTCCCACATTCCATGACAAACTCTTATGTTATCAGTGGACCAGGTACTTTGAATTGACTGTTTTTAATGTGATTAAAGAATACATTAAAAATTAACAACCCAATTTCACAGAACATGAATTGAGAAGGTTTTTTTAGCCTTGAATGAAAGTGATGTAGCATGGCATCGCTATATTGGTTTGCTCCTGAAAATGCGAATGCACCATGAGCATTTTAACTAGTTTATATTTTAGGGAAATTAACTCAGCAGAATATGTAAAACTTGGAGTTCCCCTAAATTCTGCATGAAGAATCAAATCCATATAAATGTCCTAGACGAATTTATGCAGGTATTATTTGAAAGCGTTTCTATTTTCTGGGAGCCTGGATTTAATGCTTTAAGTTTTGCCCACAAAATATACAGTCAATCCACTTTACAGTATATCCTGTGAAGCTCTTTGAGATGTCTTGACGACTTGATAAGGCACTATATATCAAATGCAAAGATTATGATTATTATTAAGTTTACACTACTTATATGAGGTTTGATTTGAGGAAGTTCAATCAGATACAAGTCAGAGAACTGTAGTATTATGTGATAATAAGTAATAATAACAATACTTGCAACAGTGCCTTTCATGTCAAGAGGATATCTCCAAACACGTCATAGAATTTTGCTACAAAGTGTCGTAGGTGAATGTGGGATTTAATTTGCATGCAACAAAATTCCACAAACAGTCATGAGATGAATGATCAATTTTATATGGGGGCTTGTTGGCCAGGGCATCAGAACGAAATTCCCTTCTCTTTTGAATGTTTTGCCCACAAAATATACAGTCAATTCACTTTACAATATATTCCGTGAAGCGCTTCAAGACGTCTCAATGACCTGATCAAATCAAGGGTTATTATTTGTGTAGGATTTTTAACATCCACCTGGATAGGCAGATGGTCTCTCAGTTTATCTGATAGACAACGCCAGCATGAGTCACAACATGGGGCTTGAGCTTATAGCTTTCTGAGTGTAATACCAGAGTGCTAATGACTGTATCAGGCTGACATCAGTCAAATGCATTGATTTGTTTTGTCATTAATTCAACATATGTCTAACATTACATTGCGGTTGGGATAGACTGAGAAGTCTTATTGCTCTATGTCAATTCACAGTGGCAGGATGGTTGCTGTTCATTTGAGTGACGTTTTAACATATTCTTTCCCAGATGAATCTCTGCACCAAAACCGGTAATAAAACCGCACCACAGGATGATGAAACGATATCAGTGGAAACATCTCAGAACTCGAGGACCAATGGCTGGAGCTGGCCACCACATCCCTTACAGATAGTCGCCTGGATTGGTTACGTGTACTTCATCTTTGCTTTGTTTGGCATCCTTATCCCTCTCCTTCCAAATCACTGGGTACCCGCTGGATATATTGTATCTTTTTCTAAGGCTGTTATTAAATATTCAAATTGTAGAAACTGAATTTTAACTATTTGTTTGTATCTCAGAGATGAGAATTACAGTTTCTGTTACAATAATAATAATAATAATAATAATAGTAATAATCCTTGCATTTGATAGAGCGCCTTTTCACGTCTCGGAGTGTTAGTAAGCAATCATGTGGGTTTCACCTCTGGAAGTAATTTGTTCTCTAGCGTGGCTAATTCATTATTGGGAAAGAAAACTACACTAACAGTTGATGAACATTTTATAAGACCATAAGACTGAAATTATATAAATTGATGCTGATACGTTTTGGTATGAACTGGAGCACAACCTTAAAGTGACACAGTAATACAATTTATATCTGTCCAACAATATTGCTATTGCCACTGGGGGTCTGAGAAAAGAGTAATGGCACCATTACAGCCACTTAAATTATGAGGACACTCAGTAATACAATTTCAGATTTTGTATTTCTGAACTTTCCAGGATTCAGGATAGCAATTTTAGCTTTAAGATGAAGTGCAAATGGTCGTGAGTAGAGCAATCTGAGGTGATCCATTAAGAGCATCACACAAGAGGCATAATAGCACAAGTGTGATTTCTTAACCCCCATAGCTGCTATAAATACAACCTTTCACATAATACCTTTCACATAAAAGAACATCTCATCAGGTTTGCTCTAAATAAGCTTAGATACAACACTGAATATACATGGGGTATTTTGTAATTCTTGTTAAATGTATTCTGCAGATGTAACAGTCTTAGGATCAGGGGTAGACAGGAAGAAATGATAGCGTGAATCCAAGAGCTTCCACACTATATGAAGGGAACTACCACAGGCTTCCCATCTGTCACTTGCAGGCTGAATCAGAGGATTTGGCAAACAAAGAATTTGGGGATTTGATGTGGCATATTGAGGACAATCTGTTATTCCTGTTTGCGCTAGGCTAAATACTAAAAACATGTCGCTGATTTTTAGGGCTGTGTTGTGCCATCGTAATCCTTAGTACATGAATATGAATGCTAGTTTAACGATTAAATGAAAGCCATTTTCAGAACGTAAAATGCATGAATAAATTTCAGTGCCATCTTTTCAAAGGAGAGTGCAGAAAGTTACAAACAGTAACTCTAGTCTACCTATTCTGATCAAACTTACTATTGCTGTACCGATTAGATGCCAATAGGACATGTCTTTTTATTAAACTCTGCCACAAAACATATAGTCAATAACCTTTACATGATATTCTTTGAAGCGCTTTGAATGTCTAGAAGCCGTGATAAGGCACTATATAAATGCAAGGATTATTATTAAATGCTATAAACATGAGAAATCTAACATTTTAGAGAAACTTTTTTTCAGATAAATTTTAAATTTAATAGATACTTGGTCGCCTTATCATGTTGTCGAGATGTATTGTAAAATCTGTATTTTATGGGTGAAAGAAAATGGAAGAATAAAATTGACTTGTAAGATAAATAAGTAAAATGCTGTGTGTATTCCAAATGTTGTTGTGTTATATTCTATCGATAGTCATGTATGTTCATTTGTCCAGCATATCAGATAGTTGACTCAGGTGGCATCAGATGTGATCCACTGTTATGCACGTGTTAATGTGTGGATCAATTTATTATACAATTCTGCATTTAAAAAAATAAAAGTTCTCAGGTCTGGTTGTATTGTTCTACCAATTAAATTATTATGTTAGGTTTTATAATAAGACATTAGTTTCACTGTCCATATGTTTTCAATTTTTTAACCTTAACGTTCTTCAGTGGCTTATTGTTTTATTTATCTGCCACCTGGTTCTTCATCTGTCTGCAGTCAGCATTGATCCAGCTGATAAGAATGTTCGAACCAAGAACTATAATAATCCTTTGCCTATGTTTGACCGCAACAAACATAAACATGTTATTGAAAACCATCACTGCTATCTTTGTGAAGTGGATGTGTAAGTGTCTAAAAGAATATTGGGCTAAACAGAATTTTTTTTTGCTTTCTTCAATTGGTGGTGCCTTAAGCACTGTGATAAGAACATGCATGATCCCTTGTTTTAGGGAATGATCTAATGTTTTAAAGCTATTTTGCCTCAGTATGCTATATAAGTATCGAGATAAACATTGCTGTAACTTTATCATTACAGTAATTCTTCAAACATATTCTTCAAAACAGATTGCTTTGGGATCATAAAGTGCTTCCGCTCTAAAAGAAATACAGATTCAACATTAATTCCTCTTATGCATTTAGATTATTTTAAATATCAATATCATACAAATTTAATTTTGTATTGTAAACTTACTTGCCTGGATATTACCATCAGACAATCGAACTTACTTTGCGACTCATAAGTTTTTTTTTACTACCAAATATATGTCTTCTGTTTTCATCAAGAATGGGCCATGATTCTGGCTAACACAAATATTGATTTCCCACACAATGCTAAAGTATTCGAGTTGCTGAACCATCCTGAATCAGTGATTGATATTAATTCAATTCACTCATGTGGTTTAGTTGTATTGGAGAATCAATTAAAATAAAAGACAAAATAAGAAGATGTTCACAATTCTTCATCATTTGTACTTGTTAACTTGTTATACTATGTCCATCTCTTATCCAATAAGCTATTTTCTGTTCACAGCTTGTGTGTCACAATCTACATATTGTGCTTTGCTTCACAGAAGTCCAAAGTCGAAACACTGCAGTCAGTGTAATAAATGTGTTGCAGCTTTCGATCACCACTGTAAATGGCTCAATAATTGTGTGGGAAGCAGAAATTATTGGTAGGTCCACCTTTCTTTTAACTTGCATTCTTCAGTAACAATAAATTGAGTTCCAAGAATAAAATAATTATTAACATTGGTCATTCACTTCAAGAATGTTTGTGGGACGTTACTGTTCAAATGTGCTGCTATATTTACCTACAAATACAGTCATTATACAGTAAGTTCTGTGAAAAGCTTTGAGGTAGCCCTCAAAAGGCGGTATACCAGATGCAAGGATTATATTGTAATTATAAAAAACATCTGCTGAATAATCTTTTTGGTAATGAATTTCGTTCACTCTTAGGCAAAAATTAGTAATTAACGCAACCACAAAAGATTCTCTCTAATTAGTATCTTTATTATGAGAGATTTTAGGATTGATTATGTTATAAACAGCGCCTCTAATTTTTAAAGGTATATACTTTCAATTATTTTAACTTTGTGAATCAATCCAAAAGTTTTCAAAAATAACTCATGAAAAAGGTGAGGAAGTTAGCACCAGGAAAAGGTGGATGATGGAATGGAAGTGGTTGAGATTCTTCTCTCTCAGCAGGATATAGAACCATTGATTCAACATCAGTAATGAAAGCTTTCTGTGTGAGCCATTTTATAAATCTTCCACATTACTGAATTACCATTTTAGTGTGAGGTAAGCTTTTTTTTTAAGATTTGAAGAAAAATTCCAGAAGCTCTGTTTTTTCTTTGTGTACACAGTCTTTGCGTAACAGTCTTATTGATTTTTCTGTTCTTTTGTATTCTGGCATTTTATTGTTTGAAATAGTGTGGTGGTTTGAAATAATCAAGGCTTTTGGTAATTTTGATAGCTGGGACATTGTTTTCGATTGACTTGATAGGTGCCCATTCTTTCAATTACTTAATCTGAGTTCAAGAGCATGTGCCACTTTTTGGATGTTAATTGGGGAATTAAAGGTTTGAAAGTAAAATATCTTAATTGGTAAAATTTTCATCTGTACTTTGCCTGTTTCAATGTTGGATCCTTGCTTTACCTCATTTACTTGGTACTCATTCTTGCCCTAGCTTTACCCTCGCATGTTGTTTCACCACTCGCGTAAATACAATAATATTGATAACAAGTCAAATGAAATGAAAGAAAAAATATGGAAGAGCGGATGACAAAGGAAGTAATGTTTAGTTGTGGTAATCATCGCTTCTTCACTGGATATCAGCTTCAAATTAATTTTAAAAATTGAAACTTGTTTCCAGGAATAACGATCTAAGAATGTCGATAACTTAAAGTGTAGAGGCAGTTTGGAATGGGAAAAAAACATTCTCAAGTGGGTGGGTGTTTAACCGCAAAGCTTCCTTGTTAAGTCAGGTTTTCAGGACAACTTTTATCAGCATTTACAATTCAGTCATTAAAGCCTGGTGATGATTATTCCTAGTGATAATTAAGGAACAGAATGTGTTCAGGAAAATTTCTGTGTGGGACAGTGTTCAAGCAAGTTTCACCACATTAAAACAAACATAAAACATTTGCAATAATGCAAATGGCAAATTACTTGAAAAACAATAGAACTTGATTGTGCAAAAGCCACTTTGGTCTCCTTTCTTCCTGTAGATGCTGCTGTTGTATATTATAATTCTTGCATTCAATGTACCTTATCACATCATTGAAATGCCTCAAAGTGCTTTACCGGATTCACAACTTATATTTTGTATAGTGTATATTTTCAAATAGTAGTTTGCTCCCTTTAATATCCACCTCTACAGCAAAGTCAGTTTAATGTCTTATCCAAAGGATGGTACTTCAGATAATGCAATGCTGCACTGGAGTGTCAGCCTAGACCACAGTGTACCGTCATGAGGCTTCAACTCAGCACCTTCTGATTCAGAGAAGAGAGTGCTACCAACTGAGCTAGGCTAACGCCTCTATCAAATAATGTGGAGTCCTGTAGCTCAGTGGTTAGAGCACTCGCTTTGCAAGTGAGAGACTTGAGTTCAATTCCATGCAGGTCAGGGCGAAACCTTGGGCAAGTTTCCTCACGCCTAATAATAATCCCTCCCAAAACAATAATAAATTGGTCATTTTCAATCTACGACTGTTTGTGGGACATTGCTGTGCGCAATTGGCTGCCGCATTCGCCCAAAATTTACAGTCAATTCACTTTACAGTGTGTTCTGTGAAGTGCTTTGGGACGTCCTCCCGACGTGAAAAGCGCTATATCAAATGCAAGGATTATTATATTATTATTATTATAATGCTTAAAACCATGTATGGCACTAATGAGGTTTGTTACCTGAAATTGCACACTGCATCTGTAGCTGCAAAGAAGCATAATTTTCACCCACTATTTTTTTAAAAATTGACCAGTTTATAGATAATCATTTTACTTCCATAAAACTACAAAATACTTCATAACTTGCGAGCTGTAGAGGAAATTCAGTCTTCAAACATTATGCTGTATCAGCAAATTCAAGAGGTTAACTATATGATGAAGAAATTGATTGAGAGAGAATAGTACAGGATTTTTTTTATTATTATAAGAATAATACTTGCATTTGGTATAGTGCCTTTCACTTTGGGAGGAAGTCTTAAAGCACTTCACAGCATTTACTGTCAAGTCTAGAGACTATATATTTGTAGGCATTTGCGGCAGCCCATTTGCACATTACAGCCATGAATTGAATGACCAATTTTAATTGGTGAGATTGTTAGTCAGGTCAAGGAGAAACTCCCTGTAAAAATGGCTTTTTGCTATGTATGTGACTGACAAAGGAATCGCACCTGTACGTTCCTATGTATTACAGTGCGTTCATGCATTTCTACAGTACGTGCAATAAACCTTAATTGTAATTTTCTACTTTCTTGTCCAGGCTTTTCCTGAACACTATTATATCTGCTCTCTTCAGTGTCCTGGTGATTATCAGTATTGCATCGTTTGTATTTATTGAGCTTTTTCTGGATCCCAGTGTGCTTCGCGGCAATGAGAACTTCAAAGGTACATTTTAATTGAAGTGGAATTATTTTGTTTCTGTAATACCATGTGATGTGTGACTGATACTGCACATGAACCTGCGTTATTGTGTTACTTAATTGTATGTAAACTTACTCTTAAGAATATGAGTAACTATTTAGTTAAAAACCTTGAAGTGCCTGCTTGTATGCTGCAAAATAGCTCCACTGCTAACTATATTTATTCAGTTTCAATCTGCATATGTTCAATGTATGCGTAAAAGAAGGAAAGACTTTCTTTTCGGGAAAAGTATTTTCTCTCCTTTTTTATTCTTTAGTTTTCCCACTGCGCCCGACATCTCTACTAAATAGAACAACTGGGAGATCTATCACCAGGCCTCTCTCAATATAACTCTGAATCTGGCAGTGTAAAGGAATAGTTCTGACTGAAGAACTTTACATTTTCATCTCCCAACCCTATGTGGGAATTGCCTTATGTTGATCAGCAGTTTATTGAGTGCTGGGGAACTCCAGGTGCGGGATTTGCAGGTGCAATCCTGAGTCAGACCAGTCGTGTTTCGTCCACAAAATATGCTGTCAATTCACTTTATAGTATATCTGTGAAGTGCTTTGAGATGTCTCAATGATGTGACAGCTCTATATCAAATGCCAGGATTATTATTATTGTTGATGTATTTCATCTATATACACACTTTTTACATCGAAAGGTTGATTCATTTTTGCAGCTTACTATGGGAAATGAAACTTAACACAATCTTTTGACATTAAGTATATAATCCTTCAGAGAACTGTGATAAAAGTTGCGGAAGAATTTTCAAGAAATAAACCCAATTAATGGACTGTTTTTTTTAATATACCCATTGCAGTTGTGAACGATACGAAAATCTGGTTTGCATTTATGAACCTCAGGCCTTTGCAAACAACTACTACTGTTATTTTCATTGTGGCTGGAGTCACTATTGCGTTAAGCCTAACTTCATTCCTGCTCTTGAGTCAACTCCTGTGCTTCCACATTTACCTCTGTAAGTAATGTAGAACATGTCCACTCCACTACTCGTTTTACTGGTTAGGTTCTGTAGTACATTGTTATTGAAACAAAATAGTCCTGATTTACCTGTTAAATATTTTTACATTATGTAAAAATGTGTGTATTGTGCTGTTGATAGTCTTGTAATCAGTGTGGAAAAAACTGTAAAACCTGTAGTGCAAGTATGGAAGCTTAACAAATTCCTGACTGCAGCTGTGACCTCCTAACTCTGTTTGCAGTTGGGGCAAGCAAGGCAAGGGGAGTGCCATTTTATAGTATTTTACTGTATAAACAAAGGCAAAATTGGGGCAACTTCTTAACGGTAGCACTTCTGTGTGGAAGTCCAAATAGAAATCCACACAAGTTAAATGCTTTGTGTGTGGTTTAAAAGAAAATCAATACAGCATGTGAAAAGAAAAATGTTGAAAATAGGTTTACTAAACAAAAAGTGCATGTGACATACTTTATAGTCTTTGGAAAAATATGTGTGCCTTTTGTAATAAGGAATTTTTCAATATGGAGTGCATTTCTACATCCAAGTTTGACATATACATGTCTCCTCAACATGAAATATTGTCACAATATGAACTGTCTTCAAAAAATGTCATAACTACTCTCAAAACTTCAGAGAATGTTATCAGATATTCAACATCGAATAAAATGCAATAAAATAGGAAAAAATAGAATAAAATGCAGATTAAAATATATTTACCACAGATAATTTTTTTCCTACAGTGTGGAACCGTCTAAGCACTTATGAATACATCGTGCGTCAACGTCACAGGCAAGAATCCAAATCTGAGGTGATGAATTGTAAGAGATTAGGATCTCCTTCATCCAAAATAAAACCTCAGGTGCGGAACAATATACTACTTGTGTAGTTTGGCTGTTTGAATTAAAAATGTAAAAGGTGTCACGTATACACTTACTATATTTTACAAAATATGATACAATATTTCTGAGTTCTGCTTTTTACCACCCTAATTTTCAAACTGTACTCTAATGCAAATGAGCACTATTCCACTAGTACCCAAGTGGCCATTCTTCATTTGTGAGCCAGGCCAGTGAGAATTGTAAGCAAGACAGATGAAATTTTCCTGGTCTGACTACATGTTGATGTCCTTATTATTTTTCATTATTTTTTATTAATTTTTCATTATTATTTATTTTTCAGTTGCATCAAGTTTTTAAATAAATAATGGATTCTCTTTGTATTCATGTGGAATGGCTATTTTTATATTTTCCAGATCATGATAAGATCAGGATCTCTAACCTACACGCATCCCGATCAGACCGAGAACTCATCTTCCTCAGGAATGGCAGTGGAGTAAGTATTATATTAACACTTCAATTGGAATTTCTAGAGGGGGTGGGAAGGGAAATACAAATGTTGATTATGGTACTAAAATGGTTAATCTGATAATTAAATCAAACCAGAAGGACCTCAATGGACTTTGCACTGCAGTGAGCTTTGGATCTGGGTGGGTCGTTTCCCCCCCCCCCCACCCCACCTCCATAAAGCCTTCAGATCATTCACTTTTCAGTGAATCCCAAAAGCCCTTAAGAAAACAATATTTCAAAGATCAACTAAAATGGAAACAAAGCACTTTCTGGAAAATGCTATTGCAGATTGTTGTATTAAATTATGAATTTAAATAACATAATTTTGCTGGGGTCATGGATGAAATAAAATGCACGTATGAAATAGGTTTTGAATTGAGGTATTCCACATTATTCTGAGATCCTATGAACTGCACTATACTTAGATTTTAGAAAAAACGGAATGGTTTATTGAGAGACTGCCCTACAGGTCAGTGTGTGATGCATTGTAGGCAAGTTCTTACATGTTTCTGATATGATGCATAGTAACTAATATAATGTTGATAGCCTAATCATTATATTGTGATCCTGAGTACTGTATTAATTATATAATCTTTAAAGTGGTTGCTTGAGGACAAAAAGTTCCGTTAAGCAAATAAGATTTGATTGGAAAGCTCAGGAATATTCAGCTTTCATTCCTCCTGTTTTTCTATTTAATCCTGAGATCATTGACTGTATAAAGAACCAATTAAATTCCAGGCCAAATACAAATGTCGCAATTTTCCGAGCTGAAATGCCAAGAATGTTGAATGAATAATTGACTTTTTTCTCATTTAAAACATTGTTAATAATATCATGCTATATTTTTTAAATCATTATGTAAATAGGAAATCTGAAGAGTTGCATTGATGTTTGTAGATTACCTCTGGATATTGATTAAGAATACATTGGAGGATGCATTTTAAATAGCCAGTAGATTTCCATTGTATGGAAGGTCGGCAGATTCACTTGTTAGTTAGCAAAGTGGGTTAGAAGACTGCTCTTTGATTTCTGGAGGATCTTGAAGTTGATCTTCTGGGGGATGGGAATCGAGTGGAGCCAGCCTAAAATTGGGATGATAGGCCTGCGGAGCCTGGTGTAAGAGAGGATAAGGGCTTCAGAGTTTTGGATGTCTAGCTTTTGGCAAGTAGAGCTGTGTTGTCGGCTGGAGAGAATGGAGCTAAGGAGAATAGCAAATGGAAAGATATTACTTTGAAAACGAGGGCAAGCTTTTCATTTTAAAAAAAATCAACAAAGGAATTCTGGAGATACCCATGATAATTTGTGTGTTGGTAGGTAAGTCCTACTTTGCTGGATAAGAACTCTGGAGAGGACTCTTCCCTCCCCATCCCCCTCAGCAACCACCCTCATCTTGGGTAACAAATTTCACTGCAATAACACATTTACAGATGAAAGGCACTGTACAGAGTCTAACACTTATTCTCTTAGTATTGTTAACTGATGTCTATTTCCTTACAGAGTATTAAAACTTCAGAATGGTGCCCTGAAGTTTCCCAGTAGTGAATTAGTAGATGATTCTTTGCCGACGGTGTCTGCTGATCTTCAACAAACCAGAGCAAAGAAAGGTGTACAGGTAAAGGAGATCAACAAATATCATAGGATATTGTTCTGGTAGGTTAGGTTAAGCATTGGTGATGGTAACAATGAGGGGGCTCTGGTAGAAGAGGAAGCCTGAAACAATGTGCTGGTCTGGTATTGAGGGAGTGTAAGAAAAAACAGGAAAATTAGGCAGTTTGTCTAATCTAAATGAAGCTCATTCTGTGTTCACTGTTGTAGTATTGGTATAATGTAATACCCATTGCTGTATAGTTTAAGAATTACTAATATTCTTTCTAATCAACATGATTTGCTTTGCAAAATAACTTGAGGTAATGAGGTAGTATTCAGAGAGTATATAATGATTTTTGCTAGATTAACAATCTACCTGTTAATCTAGCAAAAGTAAACTTCCTATTCCCCAGATCGCACACAAGTAAACAATCTTGTTTACTCGTGTGCGACCCAGTGTCCTAATCAACAAGAACAATAACAAAAACAAGATTACATTTGTATAGCGCCTTTCACGTCGGGAGGATGTCCCAAGGCGCTGGACAGTGTACAGCATTTCAGACCCAAGCTGGGGTCAGGGGGGGAGAAGGGAAGGGAGGGAAATGGGGGTGGCCAATGGTATGGTCTCGAAGAGGAGGGTCTTGAGGAGGGACTTGAAAGGAGGCTAAGGAGAGGGTGAGGCAAAGTGATTGGGGGTGGAATTCTAGAGGTTGAGGACGGACCATAACGAAATTGCATTTAGAATGTAAGGTTTGAAAGGAGAAAAACAATTTTAATAACCATATTTAATTTCATAACAGAAGAAAACAAAGAAAGTGCACAAAGCCGCTGCAGAAATAATTATTGACAGATTCATACCCAGCACCATCAAACTCCAATCTATTCCTCCTTCACACGAGCCCGGTAAGAATTTTGAGTCTATATTATAAGATAGAATAACCTTTATTATACCTAATAGAATAATAATAGTTATTCTGATCTGAGGGAGCAAAAATATGAGCTGAAGAATTCAATGCGAGGCTCCAGTGCCACTCTATGCAGCTGGCTGAAATCTATCTCTTGTGGAAGTGAGACGATGTGCAAAAGGTATCCTTCCGAAGAGCCTGGCCAAAAATTCAACAGTAGATGTTGAGATTTCTTTAGGCTGTGAAAGATCATCGCTGTTTGCGATTTCATGATCCCCAAACTCATTTTCAAACCTCTTTGTGCCTTGGCACCTCCCTGCCTCTCCGACCTGCTTACTCCCCAGTCCACTACCCGCTGCCTCTGCTCAACTGGCTCCAGCCTCCTCCATGTCCCTCGTGCTCTCTGTTCCACCATCAGTGGCCGCACTTTCAGCAACTGTGCCCCGAAACTCTGAAACACCCTTCCTGTATCCCTCCGTCTTTCCCCTTCCTTTCCCATCTTCAGATTACACCTGAAGACCTTCCTCTTTGACTGTGCCTACAGTCACCCCCCTCCCCCTAGCTCGGCATTCCACTCCGCCACTATCAAGTGCTCTGCCTGAGCTATGTAAATGCACGTTATTGTCTTAATTATGTATCTTCCCTTTCTCAATTCATTCAACAGAGCTTGCTGCTGCTCCTGCTTCCCAGAATTCAATGATCCCTATCCTGGCTTTTCCACCAAGAGTCAGTCTACCTCCTCTAGTGCCAAATGGCATTAACCAAGTCCAAGCTGCCGGCCTCCCAGCTGAGTATCACTCTGATTCTGCAGAGTCCATGGATGAAATCCCAGTGGTCCAGACCAGACTTGGCAGTGCAGCAATGGTCGACTATACCAACCGAGTCCTTCACAGCACAAAAGTAGACTTTGGAAATTCTCTTCAGAATCTCATACCAAAAGCACACTACAACAGCCAAGAAGAAAAAGAACAATTTTCTCCAGTGCAACCCAAAATTAGAAAGAGCTCCAAAAAATTGTCAGCTTCAGATGAGAAAATTGAACCATTCTTCGATGTTTCACCTGTGTTTGTTAACAAAAGCAGTGGAGAATTTCCTCTACCTGAACTAATTCAAAGAGCTCGACCTGGTTTGGAGCATTCTGGTTCCAAGAGACAGAATCGGACTAGTGAGAGACATCCAGATTTGCCGGTGATCTTTCTCCATGGCAAAAACACCATAGACATAGCTCAGACACAACATTGGGGTGACTTCTAAACCTTGTTTCAATGTCTGGAAATGCTTATTATCCAAATGTCTTCAATTTGGCTACTTGCAGTCCTGCAGTTGTACTGAAGTACCATGAGTAGTTTGACAGCCCCAGGAAGTGGTGTGAAGTTATCTAGCATCAAGAGTTGTCATATAGTGGCATAAACTTTCAGTCACATGGCCTTGGGATATGACCATCTCATTGTTTCTTTTTTTTTCGATTTTTAAAAATATATTTAATCAGGGTTTGATACCCTTGTGAAAATATTCCTCTTACAGAGGTTTTAATATATTTCTGTTTTTGTTATTTTTATATATAAAGACTATTTGGTACTAAATATTAATAATCTTCGGGCCATTCGGAAATGAATCTATGTTTCTCAGGGATTCTACCACTGCTGAGTTTTGGAAGTAAGAGGTCAACTGGTATAAACCCTGGTTACAATCTAATCTGTGTAATCTTGTTGGATCGGCAATTGTTCTGGTCGATGGAAACTTGAAAAACTCTGAGGTATCCACAACGAGGATTTATAAGATTTCCTGGAAACATAGCGTTTAGTTTGTGTGGCCTTAACTTTCTTTTAACAGTAACCTCAATAACAAATAGGCTACTGTTCTCTGCATTTGATTTCAAATGCTGTTCAAATGCTGATTTAGCCCCTTAAGTGCCAATTACCCTACGGATGTAATTTCTGTTTAACGTTTTTGAGAACAGCAATATTATTTCTACACTGAAATAAAACATTTTAAGTTGTATATATGTCATAAAAGTTTATTCATATATGATGAATCAAAGGGCATTTGTACCACTAGCTCAGAGTCAAAGACTGACATTTTGTTGACTTGTGCTTCTAATCTCCCATATGGATTCTCAAAGCACTAGAAATATCCCATGCAAGAATAGGAATATGAAGGAAAGTTAGCTTGGCCTACTCTTGCACATCTCCCAGCAGATTAGAACGTAAATTCTGTTTTGTACAGGGAGCCAAGAGGAACAGAAATAAAAATACTGTGTATTTAATTTACTTCAACAAATTAAGTGTTTGATGGTCTATAAATGTCCAATTCTAAGTTTAATATATAAATAATAATCCTTACATTCAATATAGTGCTTTAACACATTGTCGCGATGTCTCAAAGCGCTTCACAAGACTTACTGTAAAGTGTTGTTACTGTTGTTTGTAGACAAACGTGGCAACCAATTTGCACACAAAAATGTCTCATAAGCAGCCTTGAAGTGAATGATGAATTTTATTTGGGCAATTAGCCAAGACACTAGGAGAGACTCCTTTCTCTTTTCAAATAGTATCATGAGATCTTCAACATCTACCTGAACAGGCAGGCAGGATCTTGTTTTAACATCTTAGCCAAAGGATAGCACCCTTAACATTGCAGCTTTCACAGCAAGTTGCTCTTGTTGTTGGTTAAATCAACTAACCTTTCACTCTAGTGGCTGAGACAGTGATCCAGTGAAATGTCAACCTAGATAATGAGTTCAAAGTCCTGATGTGGGGCTTGAACCCACTATCTTCAAACTCTGAGTAAAGGATGTTAACAGCAAAACCAACAAGCCAGGCTGACACGCATAGCGCAAAGAAGTCAAATTGCTGATATTCTGATATTTTCTGGATGTAAAATCTCAGAGAACAAACAAGACCCTATGGGAATAGTTTATTTTTAACTGGATTGAAAACATGCCTGAAAATCTAGCCTCAAAATAGAGGCCTGTTGCAATGTGTGATTTCAGTACAAACTTAATCTTGAGCCTTTGGGGTCAGTGAATTTCAACTCATTGTCTGTACTGACGAAATTGTTTGGTTCCATTTCAATGGTGCTGTAATATCTTTGCAGTAAGTGGCTGTTAACTAATGGTGGTCAGGAAGTGAATAATTGGCCAGAAAAGGCAAACCTGAGGGGCAGAAACGGAGGATAAAAAACTTCCTAAGATTTAGGTATTATTTAACTATTTTAACTACTTATCTACTAAAGATGTTGAGGGAAATATTTGCAATATTAACAAAAATAGAAATCAATGCCAGGGAGTCTGTAGTTTAATTCTTGGGTTAACTTTTATAAACTGCTTTAGGTTTCCACTCTTGATTCCACTCTTCCACCAAGCGCCCTGGGACGCTAACCTGTGTGAGGGGTGCTATATAAATGCAAGTTGCTGTTGTTGTTGGTTAAATCATCTAACCCTCGGATTACTGTCTAATTGTCATTCTTGAGCACGATACAATGTGTGTGCCTGAATGAATTTTAAAGGTCATGCAGTTGGTGTTACTCCGTTCCACAGCTTAAAGAGTGTAGATCTTACTCTCTTTAAGTGTGTACCCGTCTCTAAGGTCATACTGAAGTTAGAAGAGTCACTTCTAGGCCAGATCACAAAGTCGTAATTTTTTTGTGATCCAGTTGCTGCTACCTTGGTAACAATAGCCGTTGTTTCATTACTGACAACGATCAGGTGGTGGGTCTGAAATGCAAGCACAGATTTTTGCGGTCAGACAATGGCCGTGCAGTCATTGTTTCAGCCGTGAACTCCACTTGATTTACGAGCTGCTGGCACCACCTCAATACTTAATGCAAGCCATAAAGTAGGACCCTAAAGGAACTCTTTTGTATATCTTATTTGATCAGCCCAAGTCCTGGCAATGCACATAGAAACAGCACTGGAGCCAAATTCAACTAAGTTATAATAATAATAATAATAATCCTTGTATTTGATATAGCGCTTTTCACATCTTCTAGACGTCTCAAAGCGCTTCACAGAATATACTGTAAAGTGAATTGACTGTATATTTTGTGGGTGAAACTCGGCAGCCAATTGCGCACAGCAGGGTCCCACAAACAGTTGTGGATTAAAGTGACCAATTTATTTTGGGGTTTTTTCTTGAGGGATTATTATCAGCCGTGTGGAATTAGGAAACTTGCCCAAGGTTTTGCCCTGCTGGGAATTGAATCCAGGTTTCTCGCTCGCGAAGTTAATGCTCTAACCACTGAGCAAGAGGACTCCACTGTAGTTTATCATTCAGGCACTGAAGCAGTTCAATTCTGTTCAGCAAATAATGGCAGAATATGCTCGGACCTGGTGCAAAGCTAGCAGCCTACTTACTCTGTCTTAAAAACAACTTTCGGGTACATTATTCTTATTGATTCTACCTATCAACGTTATTCACTGCACATAAAGTGCTGCAATTTGAAATTATCAGCAATCAAGATTACCCAGGATTGGCTTGGATGATGAAAGCCCATTTTATCTCATCCTTCCAGAATACCAGCCCTACCTGTCATCCCGTTATAGCATCAGGTTGCTTTGTAAAATAAATGATTTCTCCCACTTTGTAAAGATGTCCTATTAGCACTATATGCACCTACTGTAGCTAGTATTCTTTACATACTATTAATTTTGTAAGCCTTCTAATTGCATCCATTTTATATCTTGCTGGAAAGGATGCAGCTTCCGTTTTGGGAACTTTGCTTTGTTCCATATTTTGGGTTTTGCCAAAGTGCAATTAACAATTTGTAAATATTGCAAATTAGACGCAGTCGTGAGGGATGGAATCGACATATATTGGAACATATGGAAACATATATTGTCAGTTTTCTTTGGGGGGGCATGAAGGATTGGTCAGCTGGTTTCTGCTCACGATTCCTTACCTTGTGAATTACTGGTTGTGTTGTTGGTTGTGTTGTTGGGGTCGCAAGGTGGGGGTTGGGGGCGGGAGAGGAAGGGAGATAGAGAGTGTGAATAAATGCTCTGGGCCAATTAGTTTTCGAACGGATGGTGGAAACAAAAGGCAGTGAGTGCATTGCCCTGCAATGCTTTTTGCTTTATCTCTTGGTGGCCAGTTTTCAGAGTTGTTGGCACAGGTTTGGGAACAGAATGTGTACCCACTTTGTTGCCCAGGGATTTGCACTGAGAGGGCCTAAAGAAAGCAATGAAATACAAAGCAACTCCGTTCTTTTTGCACGTCTGTCAAACACTTGGGAAATACCGGTGGTTGAATCGTGAACAATTCTACCATTCATAGCATCAAATGAAAAATTATTTTTGCATTTCCAAGTTAAAAGGCACTCCTGCAATGAGTACCCACCCATGTACAACTGGACCCCATTTCCAGGCAACGCACCATACAGAGACCGACACAATACACTCACTGTCATATCTGTTGTTCCAGCTGACTTGGGGAGAGGGAAGGGTGGAGCCGGAATGAGCTGAATTAAGTTGACTGTACAAGATTTTATGAAACCATAACTTTCATGTGTTTTTTTAAAAAACCCTGATAAACCGCTTTAAAAATGCACTAAGAGCTACACTCATCCATCCTGCGAAGCATTCAATGACATTAAAATTAGCTCCCCATAAGCTAACGTGAAGTATTACTTACGACATGTAACAAAGCTGTTTCTCTTACAGCTATAATTCATGACCTTGGTGACTTTTATATTGTACATTGCCATTTTATCACGCCCCCTTGATGTTCCAGGGGATGTTGCTATGCCTACAGGAGAAACACAAAATAACATCTCTTCAGTCTCTTAAAAGAGCGTTTTGTTGTGGAAAGACCACAGAAGGAACTTGCGAGGAGGTTTTAGAACTTAGCTGAAAGTGCTAGAAAGGTAAGATGACCAATTCCAATCTTGTTTATGACAACAGATACTTTGCAGTGATGGCTTTGCACGAGTTGGCTTTCCAAAGCCAGGAAGAATATTAACGCATCTAGTTTTCAGGTTTTAGTAAATGCTACAGACAATATTACATTGCATTCTGATTTGTGTTTGATAGTTTTTAAAAAAGTATTTAATAAAAATTATTTTCCACCAATATTATTGGAACTTTTTGCAAAAGCAAAGTATGATTTCCCTTGGAACTTGGAAAGTTTAATCCTGGGAAACTCAAGTCAGTTTAAGTACAGGTCTTGGACTGAAAAGTTCAGGGTTCAAGACCGATTCAATAACAACTTTCAAAAAGAAATTAGATAGGTACTTGAAAAGGAAAAAAATTGCAAGGTTATGAGTAAAGAGCGGAGAGTGGGACTGATTGGGTAGCTCTTACAAAGACCTGGCACAGGCACGGTGGGCTGAATGGCCTCCTTCCTTGCCATAATATTCTATGATTCTTTTGTGTCCATTCAGTCCGCTCATTTTCACCATTGATTAAAAATGAATACCAGAGGCATAAAGGGATCTTTCGTGACTAGGTTCTTGAAAGAAATGTCTGAAAATTAGTGAAGCAAGTCGTGCGCAAGTTTGGTAACTGACAACTCATTCTTTCTGATGAATGTAAATGGCTTTGTGCCATCAGCAATTAAACCAAGAGTGACAGTACAAGGCATCAAAGTGTCTATTCTCTTCTGTTTAACGTTCTTCAACAAATCGAACGTGAAGAGATAGCCAAATTTCAGCCAAGAATAGCAATGTAGGTAAGCTGTGCCTTTTTAAATGTTTACACTGCTGCCCAGGACAACACAAGGGCGTTGTTTTCAAACTTCATCTGGGATTTAGGAACTCAGTTTGAGATGTAAGAAGTTTAATTGGACACCAACCCAAGGATGTCGCAATAACCATGCTTCATGTCTTGTAAGAGCTTGAGGCATATAATAATAATAATAATCCTTGCATTTTGTATCGTGCATTATCATGTCTTTGAAACGTCTCAAAGCGCTTCACAGAATATACTGTAAAGTGAATTGACTGTATATTGACTGTGTACGTGGAGTCCTGTAGCTCAGTGGTTAGAGCACTCGCTTTGCAAGTGAGAGACCTGAGTTCAATTCCAGGCAGGTCAGGGCGAAACCTTGGGCAAGTTTCCTTACTCCACACAGAGCCTAATAATAATCCCTCCAAAAAAACAGAACAATAATAAATTGGTCGTTTTCAATCTACGACTGTTTGTGGGACATTGCTGTGCGCAATTGGCTGCCGCGTTCGCCCACAAATATACAGTCAATTCACTTTACAGTGTGTTCCGTGAAGCGCTTTGGGACGTCCTCCCGACGTGAAAAGCGCTATATCAAATGCAAGGATTATTATTATTATTATTTCAGAGTGTATAGAATTCAGCACGGTCTTATTTGTGAAATTTGATGCCATGGATGTCTATGGAGGCCAGGTTTAAAGAGTGAGGATTTGGGAATGGATGAACATTTTGGTTTTCTAAAGGAGGTAAATGAAGTGTCATATTTAAAGACAGATAATCTCTAGAATGGGAATCAGACAAGCGAAGCATCACCATCAACAACAACATGCATTTATATATATCCCATGTACAGAAATAATAATTCAAACTGGTGACAAATTTAAAACGTCTGAATAAATCTTTTTGAAATGTAACGGGTGAGGGTGAGTAAAGTCTTCGCAGTTGGCCATTCTTGTATTTTATTGTTCAGCAAAGAAAATACCAAGGCAATGGCGGAAGGAGGCTCAGTTAATATGGAGGAGCTGCACATGTCGTTCAGGAAGTTTGCGATGCACGGGGACACCAAGGCGAGCGGAAATGAAATGAACGGGAAGAACTGGGTCAAACTCTGCAAAGACTGCAAAGTCATCGACGGCAAATCTGTCACTCCCACAGACGTGGACATTGTCTTTTCAAAAGTAAAGTAAGTTCCAAGCAGTTTGCCATCGGACAGAAACTGCAAGGCTTTTTCAGTTTTAAGCTATTTTAGACTGTATTATCTTTGTGCAGAACGGTAGCACCAGAAGGCATGACCTGCGATTGAAGGGGGGTTAAATTCAAAACAAATCTGTGGAAACACTACTTCAGGGAGCGAGTAGTAAATGTATGGAACACATTCCCTAAGGGGACGGTGGAAGTAGAAAGTATTGATTCTTTCAAGAATAAATTAGATAGATTTCTGTTAAGATTACAGTATATAATTTGGGACACGACACGTGCCAGGATGGTGGAAGTGAACTGGGTGGACCTTGGTCTTCTTTGTCTAGCAATTCTTGTGTTCTTATGCTTTTATGCATCAAAATCTAGAACAAGGGGACGCAGACTCAAACTCTGAAGAGAGTAAGTTGAATGCGCAGTTTAGATTTAATTATTTCACAAAGTGAACGGTGAATATGTGGAACGCAGTATGCTGGGAGGTGATGTTTCAGATCATTTTGTCAGAAACCAACTGATTGTTATTGTATTATTACACACAGACCCAAGGCAGCCCGGGTGATCACTTTTGAAGAGTTTAAAAATGCCTTGGCCGAAATTGCCCTGAAGAGATTTAAAGGCAAAAGTAAGGAGGAAGCGGTTGAGGCAGCTTACAAGCTGATTGCAGGAAAAGACCCAGCTAATGTTGGCGTAACAGTGAGTGAATTTAATATGAGTTTTCCAGAGCTATATTGCATATCTCTGGCTTTATCAGCATGCACTGACATATCTTTAATGTGTACTTCTATATCAACTGGCTGTCAAATGAGGTAAATGGCATTTATTTGATTTGGTTGTCTTGGAGCGGTAAACTACAGCTCCTTCTCAAAGTGATTTTTTTCCAAATGAAAAAATGAATGACGTTTGCCGTAAGATATTGGATGAAAGATTAAAAAAATTCTTGCTTTTGATATCACATCTTACAACACTTGCCTGACATTCCAATGCAGTGCAGGAGTGCCCTGCAGTAGTAGTTCTTTAGATGAGATGTCCCAGCTGGATGTTAAAGATCCCATGGCACTACTTGAAAAGAGAAGGGAGTTTCTCCCCGTGTCTTGACCAACAATCCTCTGGATATTAACTGGTCCATTCACTCTATGGCTGATTGAAGCACACATTTCGTTTGCTTTCAAAATACAGTTACTACACATTACAGTAAATCCTGTAAAGCACCTTGAGAACGTCCTCGTGATATGAAAGGCAAATGCAAGGATTATTATTATAATATTGAAGTCTCTCAAAGTAGTTGAAAAAAGTTGTGATCTCGTAATCTATGTCTAAATTCTTTGGCCCATCCAATTTCATACTTCCAGAAAATCCAGGGACTCATAACAAGAAAAGGCTGCATTCACTGTATGCCCTTAATCAAACGTAAACTTCTGTTTGTGGATTCTTCACAATGAAGCTATTTTTCTTTCCAGAAAACAACAAAGGCTGGTGCTGTTGACAGACTAACCGATACGTCTAAGTACACAGGATCTCATAAAGAACGTTTCGATCAAAGTGGTGCTGGCAAAGGGAAGATGGGACGAGAGGATATAATTGATAACACAGGCTATGTGGGAGCTTACAAGGGGCATGGGACCTACAATGAAAAATCAAAAGAAAAGTGATTGTAAATGGTCTAGTTTGTAAGGAGATGGGGAAATCGTTTGGTAATTTCCAGAATCTATATTAAGTAAACAGTATTTATGGGACATCAGCTTATTCTTCTTGACTTTCCTAAAACATATTGTAACAATAACTGCACTTCAATTAAAATATATTAATTCCCCGTGGCTATGATAAGGATATATTAATGATAATAGATGCAGCACTTGATAATCCTCAATGGCAACTATATCTGTCACTAAATGTGTGTAAGTTCTGAGTCACACGGTGGTGAGACTCATACCAGCAAAACTAAGCCTAATAAACAATTGCAAGCTATATTGCAAGTTTATTCTGAAGATGCATCTGCTTCAGCACAACTTTCCCCCAGTGTCCAACGTGATCTTGTTGAGAGTAACTTTCACAAATTGTCTCAGGAAGTGAGGTGAGGTTCCAAAAAAAAACATTCATCAAGCACATCAATATCACAAAATGAGAGAGGGAGAGAGAAAAAACACATGTTAAAACTGGAACATTATAGGGAGTCGAAAACGATCACATTTACTGTATGCACTTCCTCCATTTAGAACTTAATCTCAAACCATTATCAGCACACTTGTGGCACTTGTTATTTTACAGCGCTCCGAGATATTATTCTACACGAAGGCTGCTCCATATTGTGCAAATATTTTCTGCATTTCCTCATTGGTTTCTCTGCATCTTTAGCTCGAGAAAAGCTAGAGAAAAGAAAATTCTGCACAAATAAATAATCCAGGAACAATGAACCCTTTTGATAACTATTTTATATTTTAAAAAAAAGTTATGCTTTTCAACACTTCTCTTTTTAAAGGACTCCGTTGATTTTTTCAGGAATACAAATTTATGATATTCGAGACGAAGAGAACAACCGTTTTTGATAATATAATATTTTTTGAATAAAAGAAAAGATTTTAAACTAGCTAAATATTCTAATACATCAGAGTGCCATTATGAATAATTTGGAGTTCTGTGTTCTTCTAATTATCCTTGTATCACTAATAACTTTTGGTAAATACGGTAATTTTTTTGTTCCCAAATGCCTGACTTTTAATGCTGCATTTCGTTCATAATAAAAAGGCTTGACATTTAACACTGTCTTTATTTCGTAATAAAAACTGCAAGGATCTTGTCCCGCCAAACTGGTGTTTCTAAAGTTCTTCCAAGTCATAATTAAGGTATAGCTTTAAACAATTGCGTGTCGGGAGCAAAATATTAATAAGTTTCCTGGCTTTGCTTGAATATTCCTGATGTTTCTGGAGCCTGTGAAGTTTTAACATTAAACGTAACATTGTGGGAAGGGAATGGAAGGCTCAGTCGCAGTCTGGACATGACTCTGGCAAAGCAACAAGAAACTAATGTGCCCCGTAGTCTCTGTATGTGTTTGTGTGCGTGTCCACATCTCCATGGAGACCACAGATGAGATACAAACAGTCAAACAGCTGCTTTTAATAGAACCAGCCTGCACCATAGCACCATTTCATGAGAACCACTGTGGCTGACTTTGACCTCATCCTGACTTGACATACCACGGTAAAAGGCCAGTCGACCGATCAACCATGAGATTCTAACACCAGTCAGACACGTTTGACAAGTGAATGTTTTCTTCGAAATAATATTCTATGTAAGCTAACCAGATTCACGGTAACAAAATAATACTCAGCTTTGGGGGGGGTCAGCATGTGCGACCCATTGAGGTTTATCATAAACATCTTACTGTTGAATAACTTGCACATTCTCGCTTTCCATGCAAAAAATGTTAAGAAAATGATTGATCAAAGTGAGCTAAGCTTGCTCCAGCCCTGATGGGGTGATATAGCTGTAGCTTGCTGGTTCGAATCCAAGTCTGCACCGAGTTTGCTGGTCTCAGACAGGATACATAGGGAGACTAAATTGGCTCTGGCCTTCCCAGGGTTAAGGAGGGGAAAAGCCAGGGTTCTTGCTCCTTGGCCCTCTGCTCTGTCTGTGTGTGAGACGAGTGATCAGAGGTTCGGCTTGGGTGTGACTCCCTCTACATTCGAATGGGCATGAACAATGATTAGTCGGGCGGGTATCTGAGTGCTTCTGAACCTGCAACCCAGCAAGAGGATAGCCAGAGCAGGAGTAGAGTGGAGAGAAAATGAGAAAAATAATTTCACAAAAAAAATGAACAAAATAAAGGTTTAACATAACACAAATTTGACAAACTATCCATTATCATGGTGTCCCGTAGGGTAATGGTTAGCACACAATGGTTAGCTCGCAAGAGAGAGGACCCTGATTTGATTCTCGAGCTGGGAAAGTTTTCTTACTCCACACTCTTTACATAGCATTAATCAGGAACCCGGTTGTTAGTCGATTGGCTGATCGCTTTCCGGATGTAATAATCAAAAAAAATTGCTCACTTCATCCACGACTGCTTGTTGGACACTGTGTGCAATTGACGGCCGTGTTTCGACCACAAAATCCACATCCACATTGCATTATATTCTGTGAACCACTTTGAGATGTCTCAACGACGTGATAAAGAGTTATATCAGATGCGAGGATTATTGATTATTATTATTATGTTAAATATTATGTTAAATATTATGTACTTAAAAGTTCATGGTTTGATTTGCAAAATTCCTAGTACTGGAGAATGAAACAAGAGCAGTGAGATGGTTTCGTAGTAAGACTGTAATCATTGCTGATATTTGCGCGTGGCAGTGGAAGAGGAGAAACACAATATGTGATGTATGTGTTCAAAGAGTGACTACACTTTACAGTAAATCCCGTGGAGCACTTTGAGACATCCACTTGACATGAAAGGCACTGTACCAGATGTAAGGATTATTATTTGCATTATCATTGGTGATGATTATCACATTGCATACATTGTACATTCCCAAATAGTTAGTTCTCAGTTGCTTCGCAATTTCTTTGTGTACGTGTTGCCCAAAATGTGAAACCCAAACCAATTAAACTATCTGATGAAATTTGCACCTTTGTAAATCGTATATGAAACAATATAAGTTCAGCAAATCAGGTTTCAGTAATTCAAATGATGTGTTGTTACACTCTCTTGATGTCACTATGGCTATAATTTCAACTTAAAAAAAAGTTTTTAAATTATATAAGGTTACAAAAATTAGGATTTTACTGAGGACGATTTAACAAGTTAGTTGAGTCAACTACTCAAGAGGTAGGAAAAAGTCTGATTTCACCTTTACACTGCCTATTTATAATTGTTCTCACTTTGCTTTGACACTTTGCCTCTGAGGCCACAAGGGCTGTGAAACCATGGAGCAGCTTTTTTTCAGCAAGAGAGCAGAACTCCCAAAAGATAAGAATCTAAGTTTAAGGCTAATCTAGTCAGTCTATGGGAATACTTGATTCACTTGACAATAAATGTTCTGACCTTGGCAGTGTGAATCTGTAATAAGAAAATTCCATCGTAAAATGATCTTGTCACAGTCAGTGTATAATATTCCTTGCATTTGAAATAGTACTCATACGATTGATAAACTGTTTTACAATATTCTCAATTGCTGCCAAGTGTAGTAACTGTGCCTTTGTAGGCAAACATGGCAGTCAATTTAGGTGTCAGCCTGGCTCAATTAGCAGCATTCTGGCCATCTCGGGACTTTGAGCTCATAGTCCAGCTTGACACTAATGCAGTGCTGGGAGAGTGAAGCATTATCAGAGGTGTCGACAGTAACAGTGAAGTAACAAGCAAAGAATTGCCCCTAAGTTTTCCTATAACATATCAGAATTCCCCACAAAATACACACTCACTACACTTTACAGTAAATCCTGTGAAATGCTTTGTGATGTCCTCCTGTTGTGAAAGGCGCTGTATCAAATGCAAGGATTATTTTTTTAAATGTATTTATTATTGGAGCAAGAAAAATCTAGCTGATGGACCAAGCTTCAGTGTGCACATCATGCCCAGGGTTTAGAAGAAATCAGATAAATTCATGCTTTGTTTCTACCATGCTCTTTGCAAAAAAAAATACTGCTATTTTCATGAAACTTCATTGTTGAACGAATTGTTGCTTGAACCCACAACCTTTTTGACTCAGAAACGAAAGTGCTACCAACTGAGCTCAGCCGACCTTGTCAAGTTCCCACATGTTGGCTTCTAGTTATTTACAGGAACCAATATTGTAGATAAACAGAAGCCAACATATGAGAAATGGGTTATCTACTTGCCCACAGGAGTCACTGTTAGTCACTATTAGTGACGCTGCTTATGTCCAATTCTTTATGATGGAGAAAATTGCCTGGAATTTGAAGGGCAAATACAGAAACTCTCCCTGTTTCACACAGGACAGGTCGCACGCTGGGCGCGCTCCACTATGGCTGCTGGAACCTCGACAGACATGGGAATTCTGCAAGAATCCTTCAAGAAATTTGCGATGCATGGGGACACCAAAGCCAATGGATCTGAAATGAATGGAAAGAACTGGGCCAAAGTGTGTAAAGATTGCAAAGTCATTGACGGCAAAACTGTCACCGCCACAGACGTGGACATTGTCTTTTCAAAAGTCAAGTAAGTGCCAAACACTCTGTCCTCACGAAAACACAGCATGTGTTTCTCCTTCAAAGCCCTCCATGGCTTTGCTCCTTCCTATCTGTGTGACCTACTAACACCATATTGACTTGTCTGCTCCCTTCACTCAGCAGACTCCGGCCTGTTCCACATCCCCGACCGTCCAGCACCACCAACGGCAGTCAGGCCTTCAGCCTCTCTGTCTCCACACTTTGGAACTCCATCCCACAGCCCTTCGCCTCATTCCCTCCCTTGTCTCCTTCAAGACAATTCTCAAGAACCTCCTCTTTGATCGTGCGTTCGGTCACCCTCCTACCCCTACCCCCTCCCTACCCTCCACCTCTCCTGATCCCAATTCCCTGCTCGGATCCAATACCCTGACTGTCCAATACCTTGTCCTTGTGGCTGTCAATTTGTCACTGTGTTGTGCTTTGACATTTCCAATGCTGATTCTATATCATTATAGCAAATAGAATCATTTTGATCTTCGCTGCATTGATATGTGGCAGTTTGGAAGAAACAAAGATGCACAATCTAATGCCAGCGAGGTGATAAAGGACTTAAAACGTGTCTGCAGTTCAACAGCACAAAACAAAATTAGATTTTTTTCTAAATGCGTGTCATTCGGAAATTGGAAAAGCCTTCCGTTTCAAACAATGAATCTGCAATGAATTTCAGGGCCAAATCAGCTCGGGTGATCAATTTTGAAGAATTTAAATCAGCGTTGACAGAACTTGCTCCAAAGAGGTTTAAAGGTAAAAGCCAGGAAGAAGCAGTCCAGTTAACATTTGGTCTAATTGCTGGCAAGGACCCGGCTAATCTTGGAGTGACGGTGAGTGCAGATCAATATGAAATTTGAAATTGTGTGTTCTGTGTTCAAGCCTGAGCCTAGTTTCAAACTCCACGTGCGATCCATTTGCACAGAATTAATGGGGGAAAAGTTGCTGACAGCTCTATTGAAATCGTCACAGAATAAACGCTTTATACGAAAAGATATTTTGACGCCCAATAAAAACGAATGCGATATCAATGACTGGATCAAGATAATGCAGCAACAACTTGCATTTATATAGCACCTTCATGTAGAGTAATATCTCAGTGCGCTTTACAGTCATGGGGAAGGGTGACTGTAGGCATGGTCAAAGAGGAAGGTTTTAAGGAAGGACTTGAAAACAAATAGAGAGGGGGTGAGCCGGAGGGCTAGAGGGAGGGAGTTCCAGAGGTATGGGGAAGTTACCATTAATCTTTGTGAATAGACTAAATAGCTGGCCTGATTCTGATCTTAAGTATATTATTTCTGCTTTCAGGTAGCACAGAAGGGAGGCGCTGTTGAAAGATTAACGGACACCTCTAAGTACACAGGGTCCCACAAGGAGCGCTTCGATGAAAGTGGCAAAGGCAAAGGACTCAGTGGCCGGGAGGATATCAAAGACAACACTGGCTATGTGGGAAATTACAAAGGAGCTGGGACATATGATGAGAAAGTGAAGAAATAACAAGGCTTGAGTTTCATACTCCTTTGCTTGGCTGCTTCAGTAGGTAATAAAGTTGCAACAATGACCAACAAAAGAATTCCCTTTACTTCATTTTTTACACAGAACATTAAAGGCATAATAGTTCCACTTCATTTACTCATGATTGTGGAATTCTAATGCTGTGTTATACCACTTGGGGGAGGGGACGGAAGGGGTGGTGACATTTGAGAATTGGTTCTCGATATTTTTGACCTCTCAAAAAAGTAAAATTTGTGTTAGTCAAAGTCCTTTTCAGCGACTACAGTCTCGTTGATTGTGGTGTCTGAGGTGAAAAGCCATGAGGTGAATGTTCACTATTTCATAATAATCAGTTTGGACATCCCAGAGGATCAGCAAGATTACAATCTGTTCTGGTTAAGTATTTTTGTGTGTTTTCCCAGAAACTCAGGAATTAAGGCAAAGAGATACAGAAGATTCCTCCAGATAGAACACCTGTGGTTTGCCTTCAGTTCATTTTGATCGACAGCTAACACAAAGTTAAAAACTTTCCGGCACCAGTTCAAACTCTTACTTATGAAGTTCGTTGCAGTGAGGTTCCAACTGTAAAGGCAATAACACAGGAAACAAACGCTCAGACACATGCAGTACAGAGTTCTGGTGAGCTATGGGAAGCTATTGTATGTCCCCAAGTTCCCATGGAGATGCATGTAAACATGTTCAAACAAACGGCTTTTACATAACGACTCTGGTCCCAAGCATAGGTTCTCTACCACACTTGCATTAAAGAGAAAGTTTGCTTTCAAAATAATCAGCAACAACATACCTATCATAGTTATAATACTTACACAATAATCCTTGCGTTTGATATAGTGCTTCATATCTCTATATGAATAGCGATATAGAAGAATTAAAATTGTTTTTTGAGGTTTTGTTGGCCAGGACCCAACCCCACCCACCCCAGCACTGCATTGGAGTGGTATCTTAGACAATGTGATGCCAAATCACGATGGGATTAACCCACAACCTTCTGACTCAGAGGCAAGAATGCTACCACTGAGCCAGCCTGACTAGTTGTGGATTGCAAAGCCTTTATGTATCATGTGGAGTCCACATATATTATGTGGAGTCCTGTAGCTCAGTGGTTAGAGCACTCGCTTTGCAAGTGAGAGACCTGAGTTCAATTCCAGGCAGAGGGCGAAACCTTGGGCAAGTTTCCTTACTCCACACAGAGCCTAATAATAATCCCTCCAAAAAACCAAAAACAATAATTAAATTGGTCATTTTTCAATCTACGACTGTTTGTGGGACATTGCTGTGCGCAATTGGCTGCCGCGTTCGCCCACAAATATACAGTCAATTCACTTTACAGTGTGTTCTGTGAAGCGCTTTGGGACGTCCTCCCGACGTGAAAAGCGCTGTATCAAATGCAAGGATTATTATTATTATTATTATTATCATCATGACTCGAAGTATGTACAAAAGGTCAGCTTTCAGTCAAGTTACAGACTTTGAGTTCCAGAGATTATACAATTGATTCTATAGATGCTGGTGAAAAAAGCTAATTCATTCTTTGAACCACTATCTGAACTAGTCAAAGAGTGATGTTTGTACTTGTCTTAGTATTAAACAATAGTAAGAGTGTGAGCTTTTGAGTGATTTTCAATTATTTGTAAGAAAACAGTCAAGCCAAGACAATAAGCCAGAGTGTCCAACAGTGATGTCCAGTGCAAGTGGGGTTTGGTGTGAGATTAAACAGACAAAAAATGTTCTTACATGCAGTTCAATCTCTGGTTGAACACAAAACATAATAGCTGGAAATATGCAAAAGCATGTAAAGGAAGTTCTGTTCCCCAGTGAAATTAATGGAAATTGAAATCTTCCCAGTTCGTAGCAACTTGCACGCCCCCAAGTTGAAGAGGGCCTTTTAGTTTCGGATGAGATAATGTAATAGCATAAGGCTACTAAAGAATGAAACATGGAAATGAAACAAATCTATTTTATAGTGAGACTTTTGTTTAGTAACTCCGAATAAGTTTATAATCTGGACTCCAATTTACCCGCTTGTATATTTTCCTTCACTACGATGTACAGAACTTTGACGTATAAAAAAAATGCCCTTTCCCTCATTCCCCCCACATTAAAATCCGAGTCAACTTATTCACCTACAAACACACAGCCATTATGCTTCACGGTAAAATCCTGCGAAGCGCGCACCAGCAGCGCGATAAGGTCGCTCTACCGAATGCAAGGATTACGACCGGTGGCGTGTGCGTCATCTAAACAAATAATAATGATCACCAGGACCAAAGCGATGCACGGGAACGTCGGGATTGCTGGACGAAAAAAAGTCCAATCCAGTTCACCTTCCATCATCCTGGCGGCCGCAATGCTACAACACGGGGGTGGGTGGCGGGTGGGCGGGTGGGCGGGTGGCGGAGGGGGGGTGGGGTGGGGGTGTGTGGGTGTGGGTGGGGCTAAAAAGCCACGAGCCGCACTCCCCCACGCTAACGGGTCCCCGACGCGGGCTCGGACCTATCTCACCCCCCACTTTAGCAGTGACAGGGGGTAGGGCAGGGTAGGGTGTGAACCCCCCCCCCCCACACCCCCCCTCTCTCTCTCCCCCCACCCCCCCCCTCCCCCTCCCCCACCCCCCACCCCCATGATTAGAGTTTTACACCTTTCAGCAATTATTGGCGTCATAATAAGTGGCTGGTGGTTCACTGGCTGCAGACGTATGTGCGGGTGTGTGTGGGGGGCGGTGCGGTGCGATGGATGGTTGAGCGCTTCTCACAAGTGGTCACTGGTGGAACCACTGGTCCAGACCTTTTGGACCTTCAGTTCACGCTCCGCACTGCAGAGGGCGCTGTCCGCGCTACAGCCACCAGCGAACTCGAGGCCACCCATCCTTCCCCCCCCACACACACACACACCCACACACCCACACACCACCCTCTCTCTCTCTCTCTCCCCCCCTCCATACACACACCCCTCCCTCCCCGGCGGGCGGGTGGCGCCGGGGATGCTCGTGGCGGGAGCGGCCGCGGGAGCACGAGGACCGGGACCAGGACCAGGCGCCGGTTTCCAGGTGACCGTTTGAAGCAAAATGGCGTCCGGCGACCTGGTGGCCACCGAGGCCTGGATCAGGGACAGAGCTCAGCTGGGCAGCTACAGGGCAGGTCAGAGGCACCCACACCCCTCACACACACTCACACTCACCACTCACACACACACACACTCACCCCACACACACACCACTCACTCACCACTCACTCACACATACACACACTCACCCACACCCCACACCCACACCCCCCCACACACTCACCACTCACTCACACATACACACACACCACTCACCCCACTCACACACACACACACACTCACCCCTCATATACACACACACCCCTCACACATACACACACACTCACCCACACCCCACACACACACTCACACTCACTCACACATACACACCCCACACACACACTCACACTCACCACTCACACACACACACACCTCATATACACCCACACCCCACACACACACACACCCCACACTCACACACCCCACACACACACTCACACACCCCTCATATACACCCCCACCCCACACACACACACTCACACACATACTCACACACACACACTCACACTCACTCACACACCACTCACACACACTCACACATACACACCCCACACACACACACTCACCCACACCCCACACACACTCACACACACACACACTCACACACACACACACACCACTCACACACACCACACACACTCACACACACACCCCTCATATACACCCCCACCCCACACACTCACACACACACACCTCATATACATACACACCCCTAACACTCACACACACAAACCTCATATACACCCCCACCCCACACACTCACACACACACACACCTCATATACATACACACCCCTCACACTCACACACACAAACCTCATATACACACACACCTCATATACACACACACCCCACACACTCACACCCACACACACTCACACACCCCCCACACACACACACCCCTCATATACACCCCCACCCCACACACCCCCCCACACACACACCCCACACACACACACACCCCACACACACACACACACACCCCACACACACACACACCACACACACACACCCCTCATACACACCCCCACACCCCACACACACACCCCTCATATACACCCCCCCACACACACACATATACACACACCCCTCAGATATACACACACCCCTCAGATACACACACACCCCTCAGATACACACACCCCTCAGATACACACACTCATATACCCCCCCCCCACACACACACACGTATACACACACACTCACATACACCCCCACCCCACACACACACTCCTCACACACTCCTCATACACACACACTCATACACGCACGCCCCTCACATACAACTTATGTATTATGGAGTGTTTTAAATTGGAGTCCCACCATGGTGTAGTCGTGCATTGATGCTCTGCTCCATTGGGCCATTTTTTTGTAGGCAGGGACTGTAGCTTTCTTTCCCATCTTATGATTTTTTTGTATGGATCCTCTTTCCAATTATTCCCACATTGGCTTGTCCAGTAGACCTAGTAGTCATTTGGCATGCAGGAGTCTGGGCATGAATGACAGGCAGGTGGGCTGAGATGTTCAACTCTGAGGGGACCACAGCAACAGCAAACCTCCATCCTGTTGTCACCTGGGGTACATACACATGAGTTTGCAGTAGGCCCACTGAACTGCTCTTTCCCCCCCTCTTTGCTCCACCTGCAGCTTTGACAGTGCACTAGACATTGATGGAGTAGATATCATGGATTGTATCATGTCTGTTGTTCCACTTAATCTGGAATTAGGCAAAAGCAGCTGGATTTGAAGCATGCTAAAACCACTTTAATCCTTAATCCTTGCATTTGATATAGCGCTTTTCATGTCGGGAGGACGTCCCAAAGCGCTTCACAGAACACACTGTAAAGTGAATTGACTGTATATTTGTGGGCGAACGCGGCAGCCAATTGCGCACAGCAATGTCCCACAAACAGTCGTGGATTGAAAATGACCAATTTATTATTGTTTTTGGTTTTGGAGGGATTATTATTAGGCTCTGTGTGGAGTAAGGAAACTTGCCCAAGGTTTCGCCCTCTGCCTGGAATTGAACTCAGGTCTCTCGCTTGCGAGTGCTCTAACCACTGAGCTACAGGACTCCACGGACTTTGAAAACAAGAACAACAAAATTACATCTGCATAGTGCCTTTCACGTTGGGAGGACAAGGCGCTGGATAATCAGTGTTTCGGACCCGAGCTGGGGGTTGGGATTGGGGAGGGTGGAGGGCAGTGGGGGGGGGGAACGGAGGGTGACCAAAAGCACAGTCAAAGACTGGTCTTGAATGAGGCAAGCGAGGAGGCGAGGCAGAGGGACTGCAGGATGGAGTTCTAGAGGGTGGGGGGGCAGAGTGGCATCAGGCCTGCCCGCCGATGGTAGGGCAGGTGAGGAGGAGGACGTGAAGTAGGTCGGAGCCTGCTGAGCAGAGGGAGCGAGCAGGTTGGTAGGGGTTTAGGAGGTTTCAGAGATAGGGGGGAGCATAGCTATGGATGGCTTTGAAGGTGAGGAGCAAGATCTTGAACTGTATCCTCTTGTGTGATGGGAAGCCAGTGGACTTGGGTGAGGATGGGGGTGATAGGGTTGCGGAGACTATGCGGGAGAGGACGGGCTGCAGAGTTCTGGATGATCTGCAACCTATGGAAGGAGGGGTTGGGGAGGCTGACAAGTAGGGAGTTTGTGTAGTTAAACTTGGATGTTATGATTTTGTAAACATTTTGTTTCTAAAAAAAAGAGCGGTGTTTACAAAATACCTTCATAAAAAAAATACATTTCATAAATACATTGCCAATTGGCAGGTATCAAACTGTTAGATTTCCTATTTATACAATGTACAAGAGAATTATATGTTTCTAAGGCAAATGAAAACAAAACATACACCCTTTCTTTGTTGCTGTGTTCTTTCTGACCAAGTTTGTTTGAAAGAATGTGAAACTAAATATAAACACAATTTCTCTCAGAATCTTGCACATTCTCAAAGTATCCTGGTCTTTCTAAAAAAAATTAAAACATTTTAGTGTCAGGCTAGATTATGAGCTAAACGTCCCGTTATGGATCTTGAACCCACAACCTTCTGCTTCCGAATGCTACCTACTCAGTCAGGCTGACACCTAATTTATGAATTAAATAGTAATACATTTGTAAGATTAATACTCTAATAAAACATCTCCTAACAAGATTCCTTATTCCTATTTGATTTCCAATGTTAGAACAACAAAAATAATTTGCTTGATTAACAATCCTGACATTTGTTTATCTCCAAATAATAGCAATAATTTGGTTACTCAATCCACGATCCATTGTTTGTGGGACACTGCTGTGCGCAATTGGCTGCTGTGTTTTGTTGCTACAAAACACACAGTCACTACCCTGTACAGTATAAACACAGAAGTCACTGGAACACGCAGCAGGTAGGCAGTATCCATGGAGAGAGGAAAATGAGTTAGCATTTCAGGACTATGACCTTTCGTCAGAACTCAGAATAGCACAGTATATTCTGTGAAATGCATTGAGACGTCTCGATAACATAATAAGCTGCAATATCAAATAGTATTATTACTTATTATTTGCTGATTTTGTTTCTATCAGTAGATTTTGTGACTGTTATTGAATGCTGAGTTTACAACAAAAACAGCACTAACAATGTGTGATATATGTACAGTTACGATATTGTCCATATAACAAAACTGAAGTAGATCATTGATAAACTGGTTGTTATTGGGTCTTTTTCTTCTGCTTAGATGAAGTGGAGTCTCTCTCGCTTCAGGGAACCTACAGCGACAAGATTGTATCTCTTGGGGATGCTTTTCAGAACTTCAAAAGACTTAAGTGCCTCGACCTGTCAAGGAATTCTATTGATAGCCTGGGGGTGAGTTTTTGTTTGTTCAAGATCAGCTGAACCCGTTGCAGTTATGCTTGCAACGAAAGGATCCAATATGGAGTGTGGATATCAGCGGTACTACTCACAAACCATTTAATGTGCCATAAACATTGTGTGTACACCGTAAGCAAAACTGGCATACATGTGTGATGAGCTTGTTTAGGTCATAGCTCATCAACGATAGGAGATCTCCTTCCCCCCTCCAAAATATGCCCTTGACGCTCCCGCTTCCAAGACATTTCCAATGAGGTGTAAATTGTGTCTCTAAGTCAATCGGTTATTGCGTTATTGGCAGACAGACACACAGACATTTAGTCTTTATTGGTATAAATAATTGGAACCTACGACTTCAAAATTGCAGAGCATGTTTTATACATGTTTCTTGTGCATCAGTTCTTGAATGACAATATCCAACATTATTAATTCAACAGTCTATCACAACTGTTAAATTGCCTTACAGGAGTAAAGCTATTAAAATAATTGCATGATCTAATTTTCCTTGAGCAAATATTTATAGTCAATCGTTAGGTTGTGAAATGTGAATTGTCAACCAAATTTCACGAATGAACATTTTCTGCTGCATGTTAAACAATTATTTTTAATGTTGCAGGGTCTAGAGTATTTACCTTCATTGGAAAAGCTAAACATGTACTACAATAATGTAGCATCTTCAAAAGAAATTTCCCGCTTGTGCTATCTGACTAATTTGAGAGAACTAGATTTGCGGCTAAATCCAGTGACCAGGAATGAGGACAACTTCAGGCTGTTTGTCGTGCACATGCTGCCAAACTTGCAGAGGCTGGGTAAGTTACTGAACATTAGCTGGTAGCCTAAGAAGGAAATCGTGTCAGACAGTTAAGTAAATTTTGTGCAGGATGTCAGTGCCATTTAAGCTAACCAGTGTCCGCAACAAGCACTAGGTAAAGAGTAGGTAAAGCACTTCCCAAAACACCACAATCCCATGGCCACTGTGAAGGCGATTGCCAATGAATGCTAAACTAAGGGCAGTTTTGTTTTGTGAGCCTATGTCTACAAGCACCTGGATTGAGACTGTCCAAATTCTTTTGCATATAATCCTTAAATAGCCCAACTTTAAGGGGATTTTCAACCTGTCATGGTCTGGATTTCAATCCAATGTCCTAGACATGAAAAGTTAGTGTCTATCCCAATGAGTTACATTCCAAATAGTGCAGTACTTTTACCTGGTTTGCAGTTTCATTAGATAGAGAAGCTGTTGCTGTGGCTACACTTTGAGTGATCAACACACACCTGTGATTGTACCTCAGAGCACTTCAATAGTCCTTCCACTCTGTTTGCATTTATTCATGGAATGGGCTCAGTTTTAGGGAGATCCCTGTGGTGTCTCTTCCCTCCCTGTATTGACGATTTTGAACTATGTCCAGTTACTACTTGTCATCAACAGATGACAGGCTTGTCAGGGAGAGTGAGCGAAAGGCTGCCCACCAACACTTCAGTTCACAGGAGCAAAAGCAGGCACCAGAGTCAGACAGAGAAGATGAGAGGTAGGGGTAAGACAGCTGTGAGTGTGCACCTAAGAATATTTATTATCAATACCTTTTTGTAGTGCATAGTGCAAAGAAAGAAAGTTTGAACTGAGTTCCCTGGGAGTCCTTCAGTGTTACATTATCACTTACGTTATGAGAAATGTAGCATGCATTTAGGCAGGAAGTCATACATAATTCTTTTGTTGGCCTTTTGTGTTTGTCTAGGTTGACTAGTGCAGTACTGGGGGCACGCAGTACTTTGTTGCTAGAGGTGCCATCCTTTGGATGATATTTAATTTGAGGTCCTGTTTGTCTGTTCTGGTAGAAGTTAAAGATCTCATGATACTGCTCAAAAAATGATGGGAATTTCCCTTGTGTCCTGGCCAACAACCCTCCAGATCAATTGGTCAATCATTTCATTGCTGTTTGTAAGACCTTGCTGTGTGTTTGCCCACAGTCACCACACTAAATAGCAAATACCAGTGAAACATTTTCAGATGCTTCAGTGGTAGGGGCAATATTAAATGCAAGGATTATTATAACAAATAAAATATTCTCTGCCAAGCATGCAGAGTTCCAGGTATCTTACTCTTAACTGACTGACTGTTAAATACTTAATTCGGAGTATGGAGATTAATGCAGTAATGCACCCTAAAGTTTACCTCATCACAGATATTACTGATTAAAGTTTTAAGTGCCTGTACATAGTAACCAAGCAGATTATATCTGATTTCATCTTGCATTTGTTTCTATCCCAGGATCCATTTCACCGATCACGCAAAGAAGAACTATCTATTTGACAAGGATGAGCAGGAGTCGCGATGCACATCAATGAAATATAAATGGAATGCAGTATCCGATTTTAACACTGGTAAGAGAATGTAGTAAGTTGCATTGTTATGGACCTGTGCATAATCTAATGATCAGTTGTCTGTCTCAGGTCCAATTTCACTGTCCATGCAATTAACACATGATTAATCTAGCAGACTAGATAGTAGCACAGTTATTATTTGAATCAGTAAAACATTGGCTTAGATTCATATAAACCTTTTTTTATCCCAAATAAATGTTCTATTGTAAATCATAATTTCTGCTGGTCCATCTTTGTCTTGTGTTTTCATCCTGATAGTCACATATGTACTGATCCATTGTACGCTGTAAATGATGTGGGGTTTTATTGGTGGGGGGGGGCTTTAGGAACAATTTTTTTTCCTCCTGTTTTCTGCCTCAGGCCACAAGCCATTTGTGTCTGCTATAGCTGATGAGCAGCATGTTTAACGGGACTGAGCTAGTTCATTGTTGCTGCTACTGCTCTGAGCAAGTCACTACTTTTCTAGCTACTAATTTCAATTCCCTTGGACCGTCTCCAAACTCACTCTCTGCCCCTGGAATAACAGCCACCTCCACTCCCTTAAATCCCAAACCCGCATGTTTGAATGAGATGGCACAAAACCAGTTTACCGATAAATATGGCTAGAGCATCTTCGTACCCACTGCCTCTCCCTTTCATCGGCTAAAATTACCCTCCCTTCCCAGGCCATTCTGGAGGCCAGACGTAGCCCCAAAGTACTATTCTCCACCACTCATCACCTCTTCCGCGCACCATCTCAAGCACCTCAATCATCATATCCAATGCCGAGTACGAAGAGATCCTGGATTTCTTCTCAAAGATCGATACCATCCATCTGACTGCTTCCTTGCTTGCATTTTTGCTTGTATTTGCATTTGATATAGCGCCTTATCACATCTTCTAGACGTCTCAAAGCGCTTCACAGAATATACTTCAAAGTGAATTGACTGTATATTTTGTGGGCAAAACTCGGCAGCCAATTGGGCACAGCAGTGTCTCACAAACAGTCGTGGATTGAGTGACCAATTTTTTTTAAGGAATTATTAGCCCCAGAAAAACGATCAACTAATCAACCACCAGGTTCTTATTTACTGCTTGGCTTGTGGAGTAAGGATACTTACCCAATGTTTCGCCCTCCCTCCCTAGGCTGCACATCAGCTGCAGTCAGCTTGGATAACTGATGGGCCTCCCTTAACTATAACCAAACAGAAAGCAAATAAAAGCTGACAATGATAATTTCTCCTGCTGCCAATATGGCGATTGCTATTGGCCTGTGGTGACCTTGGCTCCTCAATGCTAAGTAAACTCGGCTGTAAACAAACCAGTTGCTGTAGGGACTAGGAAAAGCTTAATTGTCCGGAAACAGAATGATGATTGTATTCAGACCACTGGGAATGTATGTACGTGTGTTTGTGTGCGTATTTCTCCCTCTTGTTTTTATTTGCGAAATAAATAGATCAGATATATCGTCTCTATATAGCATAGTCTCTGTGTTCAGCTAAGTACAGTTTTTTTTGTCTTTTTCTTTAAAATACTCTAAATCAAGTTTTGCTGAATGTCTGTTCAACTGAAATGATTTTTTTTCTTGCTGGAATTCATCCCAGTTCAGAACCTGATTATAGCTATTTACTGCTTAGTATTAACAAGTCTTTTGGCTGTGTACAGTAAATGCTTTCAGCTGATGGGATAAGGTGTACTGCTTTTGAATTCTTGTTTTTATTTCTTTGATCCTAATGTATAATTTTAAGTTTACTCGTGTGTGTTGTGATTCAGCTGAATTGTCACGTAAAACTAAATGTGAAAGAGAGATATTTGCATTGGTGTCTCAATCCCTCCCTCGTTTCGTGCTTTTAAAATTCCCGTTGGGGTTTGCCCAGGAAGGGAGATTATAGAGTGTAACAAGCTGATCTCCAATGCTGGAGCTGCTCTTTAATAATGAAATGAGTCAGTTTAAAGGACTGTGGGTTGCACTCTCAATCGTGTGTCACTGAATAAGACATTTTGCACAGAATGTCTGCTTCTATGCCTTCAGCCAGTACGCCCCGAAACGCTGGAACTCTCTCCCTCAATTCCTCCGCCTTTCCCCTTCCCTCCCCACCTTCAAATCCCACCTGAAGACCTTCCTTTTTGATCGTGCTTACGGTCACCTCCCTCTTCCTCCTGGCTCGTTGTCAGACTCCGCCACTATGAAGTGCTCCGGGACACTACTCTGCGTGAAGGGTGCTATATAAATGCAAGTTGTTGTTGTTGCTCTTAATGCTGTCTGGCTAGAATTTGGATAACGTCTGACTAACGTTTCGGAGTTGGGGATAACTGCGATGCCAGTACGGTTATGTGGGAAATCAGTGATCTCTCTCCATTTTTTGGTCAGTCACTGAAGCACCTAGAAATCACAACTGTGTGTAAAAAGAATTCTGAATCTTGGTTCACTTCTAATTGCATTTCATAATCCATCTTATCCTTTTTTTGATGCTGAGATGATCAGCCTTTCCACAGGAGTAGCTAACTCTTAACACAGGGTTGATATTACCTCTTCTCTATGGGAAGACGTGAATGCACAAACAATAAAATTGATGTAATTTAAAACTTTATCTTTTTACTAGACTTGAAGGAAAGGCGCTCCACTCATGACTTCCAGCTGACCAGTGAACCTCCAGATTCTGTGTACAGTCATACGCCATTATCATCTGTTTATTCTGTCAGGGACATGAAGGAGGTTAAAGACAATTATAGCCAAGGAAAGCCAAGCACCGACACTCTGGTACGATTGAACACCAGTGGCATTAATTGTATTTCTGAGCTGCAATATAATTAAAGTTATAATAATAATAATCCTTGCATTTAATATAGCGCTTTTTACGTCTTCTAGACGTCTCAAAGCGCTTTACAGAATATACTGTAATATACTGTTATCTATACACTACAGTATTTTCTCCTTTTTTTGCAGGAAACGGAGAATTCAAGAAATGGGCAATATTTCAGTTACCTAAATGATGGTAAATAGTTGCTAAGTTTTGATAATGTATTTACTTTTGCAACAGTTAGTCTGCCAGCAGTAGCCATTGCATTTGTTATTCAGAATATATAGTGTTTCTATTGATTTGATTTGTTATGGTTTTTATTGTGATAGTGTGTGCAAATCGCAATGTATTTATCATTTCAGAAGACTATAAAACGTATCAATCGCCAACCCGCTCCTCATTACGTTCCACTGGGAAAACTATTTCCAGACAATCGAGGGAAGGATATAGAGTAACCTTCGCAGATAGAAAATTCCTGGATACAGATGAGAAAACTGTGAACTTAGAAAGTCAGTGTAATTCAGCAAATCAGTATAGCCATCCTTTGCAAAGTCAGTATAGCCACCCTTCCCCAAGTAAGTATAATCCCCCTTCACCAGGCTACAGTAAGAAGGAAAGCTTGCTTCAGACCAGAGAGAGAAACATGAAGGACTACCACGATTCTTATCAATTTGATACTCCTGTAAAGAAAGATTCTAATACAAGTATTGACAGAAGCAGTATATTATCACATGATTATCACAAACCTTGTACAGAAGCAAAGACCTATCAGTCCAATTTGGAGCCTCAGAATATGTATCCAAATCTTCAGGGAGACAAAGCAGCCATTGAGACAAACAGTGACCGATTATATAAATGGAATTCAGGTGGGATTCCTGCAGTCATTTATTTCTAATCTTATGTTGTATTATTTCCCAGCCTGTTTGTAAAAACATTACTTGCTTATTTTAACATATGGATACTTTGTCAATGAATTTTCAATGTTTGTATACTTTTGGCCCACTTGAATGATGACAAAACATAAATATGCTTTTATGCTGTCCTGGAACTATTTTGCTCAAATCTATGATAGCTTTATGCTACTAAATGTTTTAAGGTTTAGAATTGGTACGGGGTTATTAATCTATTTAGTTACGAAGAGTGATACAGCCCATTTGGGCCAACTGGTTCACATTAGTATCCCCCTCTCCTATATCCTTTTCCTTTTTCCCTCATGTATGCATCAAGTTTTCACTTATGAATCACTTCACATTTCCTATATTAAATTTCATCTGCATTTGCAAAGATTATTATTATTTTTATCTGATTAACATTGGAATCCTCTTAAACATTCTGCATTTACATGAGTTAATGTAACAGAAACAAGGCTCGTCTTGTCAGGGGAACGGGGAGAAGAATTCAGTTCATTGAAGTGAAAATACAAGTTGGAGAATAACTTTGATTCTGGTATTTCAACCCATCAATGCATTGATTCTTCTCTATCTTCACCCCATGACAAAATGACAAGGTTTTGTGTCTGTGTTAATGTCTTTTTATTGTCGAGAGATAAATGAGCATTTAATTTGAAACACAAACTGTATTAAAAAAAAGTCTTGACAGTCTTCAGACCTATTGGTGAAAGTGAAAGCTACATTATAAATTTGAACCTGAACTGTGGTTTAGTTTAAATTTGATACTTTTTCCTAGTGAGAAAGTAGCCCAACTGAATCGTTCAGTTGTCAGATGTTTGAGAAGTAATGAGGTACGAAGTGGAGAGGTGCCTCAAGTAATATACCAGCAAGCGAGAGACCTGGGTTCACTCCCATCAGAGTGAAACCTTGGGCAAGTTTCCTTATTCCACACGCCTGTAGATAATCCCTCAAGAAAAAAAAACAATAATAAAATGGGTCACTTCAATCAACGACTGTTTGTGGGACACTTCTGTGCACAATTGGCTGCCGCATTTTGCCCACATTCACTTTACAGTATATTCTGTGAAACGCTTTGAGACGTCTAGAAGACGTGAAAAGCACTATATCACACAATGAGGATTATTATTTTTACTATAGTAGAAATGGCGACATTCAATGCAGCATTGTAACCAAATGCTACTCAATGCATATTGAAAGAAGAGAAGCAAAGATGCAGCTATACTGGTTATTTCCGCGCAGATTAAATGTGTATTCCACTGGAAATAATGGACATTAACTGCACTTGAAGGAACCTGCTCACTATTTGTAAATGTGCTCAATTTTGATCATCTTGCTCCTTTTCTTCATCTGTGTTTGCAGACTTCAAAGCTGGCAGCACTTACGGAAGTAGAAAGATCACCACTGCTGATGAGGTGACCAGCACTCAGAGAGCACGATCAGCTACCAGTGGTTTGACACCACATCACAGAACTTCATCCTCGGATTCGTTACTCGATCGACCATCTTTAGCGTCTCCCAGCAGCTCCTTTACTTCTATCTATTCCAATAGTTCAAAGAGAGCCTTTGCAGAACATGTAAGCCCAGAACTGGCACCCAGCAAGTCCACAGCCCCTATTACAGACAGACAGTCGCACCTTATCAAAGGAAATGTTGAACCTTTTGAATATAAAGGAGAACTGAAGAAATCAAGCAGTCAGTGCTCACTGTTGTTTACAAAGCCAAATTACGAACGAAAGGTAAGAGGTAGTGTTTCCAGCAGTCAGATTTAATAGATAAACAAGTAAATTCCGTCCCTTTTAAAGACATTTTGACCAAATTTCAATGTTGGGAGATTGTGGTAAGCAGCGAGGCTCTCTTTACTGGAAAAATCCTTGGGAAATAGTGGCTCTATCAGGCAGATATGTTGCTGGGAAGTGATTGGAGTGTTGCAGGTCAATTGATGGAATTACTGTAGATTGTGTTCTTTCACTTGCATTATGCAGTTGGCAGAAACTGTGGCTGTTAAGTAACAGATTAATTAATTCAGTGATTAAAACATTTGATTGTTATGTAACTGCTGCTAAATGGTTATTGCTAGCACCAGAATTGAAAACCTGGGTTTTTAGGAAAAAAAGTTAGCCTCTTCCACTTACCAAACTACTGTATTAAAATGCCTTTAGTTTTGTCAGTGCTGGTTTTCAAATTGGGAGTGGTATTTAATAAATCCTAACGAGACTCCAGCAGGAACTACAGTGCTTTTCTCCCGCAATAAATAACTGAATCATATGACATATCCCTGAGACCAGCATTACGAATCGTAGTGTTTGAATTTAACATTTACCGTTTAGCACAGTTGGACTTTATCGTTCATGATTCGGTGTACAGTTTTGTTATGTTTGAAACAATGACTTTTCAAGTTAGAGGCACATATGCTTGCTTGTAGAGTATATGCAACAAGCAAAAAATTGTCCTGTACCCAAAACCATAATCGCAGTCATTTAGAATTGCTCGTGTGTTATCTCAAATTGTAAAATATTGCATCCGTACATTTCACCAGACGACTCTGTGTAAATTCCTGGAAGCAGCTGAATGTGGGGACTATCGATCCTCATCACCACCCTTGTCCAGCTCTAGTATCTCTCCAAATGTTTCCTCTGTCTTGAAGCGGCTTATTGATCTGATAGACAGACACTGGAATGGTTCAAGGTCCCTTCAACTGAATCAAAGGTTTCTCAGTAAGTTCTGAACTCGTGCTTTCATTCCAAATGGATATTTGACTGATTTTTCTAGTGTAAATTCAAATAATTACATTTTCAGGATGTGAAGAAATTTGGTTTTATCCAGCATCAAAATACAGCCTATTGCAGTACTGCTTTTGTGCTGTTTTTTCATGTGTTTATTGCAGCGTTAGCTAAATATCATTGGGAAATGGCTTGTGGAATTTCATTGTAAAACAAATATCATTCACAGTTTGTGAATAACTGAAATGTATAAAGCATTATGAGATGTTTGCCATAAATATGAAACAACACCCAGATGGGCATATCTCAAAACTGCCTTTTTCAATGAAAGTCAAAAGTGTTGGCTGGGGGAGGCGAGAAGGGAAGCTGCTTTGAAATTGAACTACTTTCTATTAATATTCAACAAGAATGTTTTTTATTGTTACAAGCTGTATTTGTTTTGCTGCATTTTAACCTGCAACACAATTGCACCTGATAGTTGCGGTAATATTTGAATTTTTTGCCTTTATTAACATTTACAAATTATGTCATGAAGGCTGATTTGCTATGATGTGAATTCTTAAAACCATCGGGTTTTATGATAGAATCTGACTCGTTGATTAATTTTATTCACATTATTATTTACTATGTTATGTGACTTTATTGCACATTGTTCTTTCTCTGTCCCTTCCTTTGTCCTCTGCATCTTCCTATAGTTCCAGCTCATGAGCTGCTGTCGAGCCTGGTTGGCTCAGTCTGCTTAGATTCTCACAATTCCAAAATTCAAAGCTTGGAAAAAAAGGTAAAAGTGTTAACTGAAGAAAACAAATCTTTGCTAACCCGAATGGGCACTGGACTGGACACCGCAGAGCTGTATCGACTAAAGCATCAAATCAGTCAGAAACAAGATGATATTGTAAGTGGAGCTTGTTGTTTCTAGGTATAGGTTTGAGAGAAACATGACATTGCCTCAGCGTTCATTGGGATATTGCAGAAGGCGAGGAACAGTATAATGTAGTTACTGTAAATTACTCAGATTATACAGTATTTGTATATTGGAAGCTCAACCACATTGGGAAGTAACCTAAGCTGGGAGGAAAACTTTATACCAACTCCTACTACTAATTTGTATGGTTAAAAAGTGATGACTGTCACAATGGTTATAATACATGCTATTGCTTATCTCTCAATGCTTTCTAAGGACTCTTTAAAAGGAAGATTAGCAAAAATATTGGATGAAAACAATAAACTGCGTTCTCAGTTAACCAGTTTGGAACTGGTTACCTGTGCTGGAAATCAGCAACAAAACAGTGAGTGCTGTGTTTTTGCAATTCTAACGAAATGGGATTTGATTTGCTTGGTCTCCTATTGATTTTATGCACATTTTAGAAGAAATTTGAATCTAGTGATCTTTCTATCAGATTAATTAGTTGTGGTCCCTTCAGGCCAGATTTCTTCTACCTCTAGATCAGGGTGGTCCAATTGGTGGCTCGTGGCCTCATCCAATTTCATCTGCCCCACCCCCCTCCCTACGTAACCGGTAACTGTTATGTTTCTGGAAGGGAAACACAAAAATCTTGCTTATGCAGCCAGCAGACATTTCTCAAATAGGGCACCTCAGCAGCCAAAAGCTTGGACCACCCTACTCCAGTCCATACTGCTTGTTCACTAAATGTGGAAAGGGGGAAATTACCTAATACGGTGCATTGTCTTTGTACCCACCCAAGGGATGTTTTGTTACTTTAATTATTATCTAGCAAAACCTAAAGATTGCTTGAACTAAATATATAGACTGAGCAGTAAAATGTAGTTTGCAAAAGGATTTGTTTTAACTGTTGCATGCTTTTTTTGCCCCTCTGTTTCTCCCCTCCCCCCCCCTCCCCGCCCATCAGAGGAGTTGCAGAGAGAGAATGAGAAACTAAATTTAGAAGTGGAATACCTGAATCAGCAAATTAAACAATATAGTAAACTACAAGAAACAGTCAGTATGTTACAGGAGAGTCACAGGTAATATGACATGATGATCAAAGTTTCCTGGCCATGTCAAGTTACAGCAAATCATTGTTGTATGAATTTAATAAAAGAATGGAAATTGTGTACGTAATATTTGATCTCCAGTTGAAGAGATTAAGTGATTTAAGTTGGGTAACAGGAATTTCCTGAAATAGCTGTTGTAGCTGAGTTGACATCAGAAAGGGGCTGATTGTAGTTTCGTGATGCCCCTTGAAAAGTGCACATGAGGGGTCTGCAGGTGAGGACAGAATCAGGTTTGGTTCTCGGGTTTCCATGGTTTCATAGCCTGCTAATGCTCACTCTCCAGGCTTATCTGTGTTGCTCACTGTTCAGGTTTATCTGTGGATACAATGAAAGCTTCAAATGTTCGTGGAACTGACCCCCAGCATCAGTCAGAATCTCCAGCAGAGTGGGCAACAAAACATCCATAGCTTAATTATGTTGATGGCATAATATTGCAATACAACGAGATCATTCAAATGATTAAAGGAGTTCCGACTAAAATCGCATCAATCAAACAATCAATCAATGAGCTGTTGCAACAGCCAAACGAAAAAACTCCCCCCCCACCCCCACCGACCCCCCCACCCCACCGACCGCCCCCCACCGACCCCCCCACCCCCACCGACCCCCACCCACCGACCGCCCCCCACCGACCCCCCCCACCCCCACCGACCGCCCCCCACCGCCCCCCCACCCCCACCGACCCCCCCACCCCCACCGCCCCCCCACCCCCCCCCACCACCCCACCGACCGCCCCCCACCCCACCGACCCCCCCCACCCCACCCCGCCCCCACCCCACCACCGCCCCCACCCCACCCCCCCCCACCCCACCGCCCCCCACCCCCACCGACCCCCCCCCCCCCCACCGACCCCCCCACCCCCACCGACCCCCCACCCCCACCGACCCCCCCACCCCCCCGACCCCCCCACCCCCACCGACCGCCCCACCCCACCGACCGCCCCACCGCCCCCCCGACCGCCCCCCACCCCCACCGACCGCCCCCCCCCACCGACCCCCCCCCCCCACCGACCGCCCCCACCCCACCGACCGCCCCCCCCCCCACCGACCGCCCCCCACCCCCGACCGCCCCCACCCCACCGACCCCCCGACCGCCCCCCACCCCCACCGACCGCCCCCCACCCCACCGACCGCCCCCCCACCCCCCACCCCCGACCCCCCCCCCACCCACCGACCGCCCCACCCCCACCGACCCCACCCCCCCCACCCCCAACGACCCACCCCCAACGACCGCTCCCCCACCCCACCGACCGCCCCCACCCCACCGACCGCCCCACCCCCACCGACCCCCCCCCCCCACCGACCGCCCACCCACGACTGCTCCCCACCCCCACCGACCGCCCCCACCCCACCGACCCCCCCGACCGCCCCCCCCACCGACTGCTCCCCCCACCCCCACCGACCACCCCCCACCCCCACCGACCGCCCCCACCCCACCACCCCCCACCCCCACCGACCCCCCCCCCACCCGCCATTGAATTATTGCAAAAAAAATGCAGTCACTTGAGTGCAACTGATCAGAGGCTGGAACACCGGGCAGAGCAGTGGCTTGGACACCGGGCACAGCAGTGGCTTGGACACCGACCGGCACAGCAGTGGTTTGGACACCGGGCACAGCAGTGGTTTGGACACCGGGCACAGCAGTGGTTTGGACACCGGGCAGATCCGAGCGAATGCTCTTCACTGAAGCGCGACCATTGCGTTGACATTCCTTCAGGGAGACTTCAGGAATTCGTTCAGGATCAGTGTGGAACAAAAAGAGGAAACCCCGAGTTCTGTTGGGTCTCAGTCCGCGGGTCAGTCGGGCTCTGGGAATCAATGCACAGAGAGAGAGAGAGAGAGAGGGTGGGGGGTGGAGAGGGGGTAGTGCTGTTCACCATCAATGGATAGGGGGTGGGGGGTGGGGGTGTGGGGGGGAGAGGATGAAATGAACCCCAAAATAAAGCTTTAAACAAAAGCGTCAGCAAAGAGGGAGTTTGGACCACCAGGAGCTGTGACCAGGAGCTGTGACCAGGAGCAGTGACGCAGAATCGTCACGTGTTTGGTAGCAGTTTTCAACTTTTTTTTGGAGGGAGTGGGGTGAGGCGGGTGTCTGACACACGGAAACCCATCACCGAATTAAACTGAGAATTTCATGTGTCCCACATGGAAATTCCAGAGACAGCAGTTTAATTTGTCTTCCCCCCCAACCCACCCAGAACTTATTAAGAGAGTTGGGAGGGAGAGAAGGGGAAAGAGAGAGTGAGTGTCATTTCTGGGGAGGAGAGGGTTAACCCCTGCTGTGTGTGTGTGTGTGGGGAGGAGAGAGTTAACCCCTGCTGAGTGTGGGGAGGAGAGGGTTAACCCCTGCTGGGTGTGGAGGAGAGGGTTAACCCCTGCTGGGTGTGGGGAGGAGAGGGTTAACCCCTGCTGGGTGTGGGGAGGAGAGGGTTAACCCCTGCTGGGAGTGGAGAGGAGAGGGTTAACCCCTGCTGTGTGTGGGTGGGGAGGAGAGGGTTAACCCCTGCTGTGTGGGGGTGGGGAGGAGAGGGTTAACCCCTGCTGTGTGTGGGTGGGGAGGAGAGGGTTAACCCCTGCTGTGTGGGGGGGGGGAGGAGAGGGTTAACCCCTGCTGTGTGGGGGGAGGAGGGGGTTAACCCCTGCTGTGTGGGGGGGGAGGAGGGGGTTAACCCTGCTGTGTGGGGGGGGAGGAGGGGTTAACCCCTGTGGGGGGGGGGAGGAGAGGGTTAACCCTGCTGCTGTGGGGGGGGGAGGAGGGGGTTAACCCCTGCTGTGTGGGGGGGAGGAGGGGTTAACCCCTGTGTGGGGGGGAGGAGGGGGTTAACCCCTGTGTGGGGGGGAGGAGGGTTAACCCCTGTGTGGGGGGGGAGGAGGGGTTAACCCTGTGTGGGGGGGAGGAGGGGGTTAACCCCTGTGGGGGGGGGAGGAGGGGGTTAACCCCTGTGGGGGGGGAGGAGGGGGTTAACCCCTGTGGGGGGGGAGGAGGGGGTTAACCCCTGTGGGGGGGGGGAGGGGTTAACCCCTGTGGGGGGGAGGAGGTGGTTAACCCCTGTGGGGGGGGGGAGGGGTTAACCCGGGGGGGGGGAGGGGTTAACCCCTGTGGGGGGGAGGAGGGGTTAACCCCTGTGGGGGGGGAGGAGGGGGTTAACCCCTGGGGGGGGAGGAGGGGGTTAACCCCTGGGGGGGGGAGGAGGGGGTTAACCCCTGTGGGGGGGGGGGAGGGGGTTAACCCCTGTGGGGGGGAGGAGGGGGTTAACCCTGGGGGGGGGATATGTGGGGAGGGGGTTAACCCCTGGGGGGGAGGAGGGGGTTAACCCCTGTGGGGGGGGAGGAGGGGGTTAACCCCTGGGGGGGGAGGAGGGGGTTAACCCCTGGGGGGGGGGAGGAGGGGGTTAACCCCTGGGGGGGGAGGAGGGGGTTAACCCCTGGGGGGGGGAGGAGGGGGTTAACCCCTGGGGGGGGGAGGAGGGGGTTAACCCCTGGGGGGGGGGAGGGGGTTAACCCCTGGGGGGGGGGAGGAGGGGTTAGTATAACCCCTGGGGGGGGGGGGGGGTTAACCCCTGGGGGGGGGGGGGGTTAACCCCGGGGGGGGGGGAGGAGGGGGTTAACCCCGGGGGGGGGGGAGGAGGGGGTAACCCCTGGGGGGGAGGAGGGTTACCCCTGGGGGGGGGGGGGAGCACGTGGCTGTGGGGTTCAGGTAAAGGTTCCGACGTCGCCTCGAGAGAGATTGGACGGTTTTGTTCAAAAAAAAGTGGCGTCGGTGCAGAGAGAGAGGGAGTGAGTGTGAGAGAGAGGTACAGAGAGAGGTACAGAGAGGGAGTGAGTGTGAGAGAGAGATACAGAGAGAGGTACAGAGAGGGAGTGAGTGTGAGAGAGAGATACAGAGAGAGGTACAGAGAGGGAGTGAGTGAGAGAGAGAGGTACAGAGAGAGGTACAGAGAGGGAGTGAGTGTGTGAGAGAGAGGTACAGAGAGAGGTACAGAGAGGGAGTGAGTGTGTGAGAGAGGTACAGAGAGAGGTACAGAGAGGGAGTGAGTGTGTGAGAGAGGTACAGAGTGGACAAACCATCTTCTCACATCTCCACCAGGACCGCAGGTCAACTGCAAAGGTAAGTCCTGACC